TTGAATGAGAACAACAATAATGAACGAGGGCTGTAATGACACAGGTTCCCAGTCAGACTTGGGGAAAGCCTGCCAGGATCCTACAGGATCCCCGTGTGGCAGACCGAATAGGACACAGGAGCAGTCCTACGGCCATCTCCATCCTGACCAGGATGATTATGATAACCATGTTGATGCCCCAGCTTCTTCGAGACCCTAATAAAAACACCATTACGACTTCTGTGTGTGTGTGTGTGTGTGTGTGTGTGTGTGTGTGTGCATGGGTCGGGGTGGGGGGGATTGATTAAATTTGTCCTCTGCTACTAGTTGGGGTCTTTCGCTCAGCATAGCAGTGACCCCACCCAGAACATGCCTATTTATGTGAACTTCCAGCCCAAGTCAACTTCCTCATTTTGGTTGCTAGATTCCAAACTGCCCTAGCCTCACCCCCAGGGTTCACATTACGTTGCTCATCTGGACTGTGTCCAGGCTTATTCCATTCTGACCCTCCCAACACAGGCTTTAACTCGTTCTAAAGAAAACTTTCCCCATTCACACTGATCCCACCATTCCCTTCCAGGGGAAGCCTGGCTCTGATGCTCTGGAAGGGCCTTGGACGTCCGTGGAAATGGACATCGAGGGAACCAATCTTGAGAGGGTCAATTCCTGACCGCTAGAAGCCGAAGGAAATGACAGGAGTATCGACCTAGATTTGGAAGGGACCTCATAAATTACCTACTCCCACCTCTTGATTTGTCAGATGAGGAAACTGGGTTCCCAGAGGGGTTGTGACTTGCCCTGGTCACATATGTGGTGTATGCCACACAGCCAAGATTAGAACCCAGGTCCTCTTATTCTAACTCAACACTCTTTCTCCTACACTATTACACAAAACCCGGGGAAATGTCACCAGCCAGCCTGAGCTAGGGTTAAATTCAAAAGGTCCAACAGGACAGCTCTTGGTTGAGGGACCACTTATCTCCAGAAGCAAAGATAATCACAACAGCAAGAGAGGAAGCCAAGATGGCAAAGGTAAGCTCTCTGGGTGTGGCTGCTCAAGGCAGGCCTTAGAAGGGACCAGCCAAATGCCCCAGGGCCAGATGCACAGAGTGAAGTCTCTGATGAGATCTAAAAATACCTCTCTCCCTCCCTCCAGTCCTCCCTCGGCTCTTTCCCCCACCTTTGCCAGCTGCTGACGTATGGTCGAGGCTGCCCTCTTGTGGCTTTAGTTGGCTGGACAAATAGTGATAGTCGAGGAAGAGAAAGGTCTTTGTGCATTGAGTTTTCTCCTGTGTCAGGAGTCAGATTCTCCTCTGCTCAGTCCATGCGCTGGGCAGGATCAGCTCTGTCTTTATGCCCTCACCAGATAGCTCCCATCTTTCTGACTCAGGTGGGGAGGGACTCGGGATTCTTGGACAGAAAGGTCTGTCTGCTCTCTGACAAACGGCCAGATGTACCTGGTTTGGGGCTCTGGATGAAGCCAGCATCAAACGTCTGCCACTCAGATGACTGTACCCTGGGGCGGCCGAAGAACAGAACGGCCTTGGCCTCCCCACTGTAAAACAGCTTAAATCTGGAGGTTTCATGAGAAACTTCCTTCTGGTGGTTCACTTCTCTTACACAAAGGGAGACAGTGTTCATAGTTTGCTCTAGCAAGAGGTGATTTCAGCTGCTCCCTTTCTAAAGCATGGGGGGAGCACAGCTGGCAGAATTACCTAAAGAAGTTTTCTTTCTAACCATCGTACCTACATTGACTTGAAAACTTCAGCAGGGTGGGGCAGCGTGGCTCACTGGAGAACTCTGGGGTTTGGGGTCACAGGATGGACCTAGGGTCAGCATTGGCTTTGCCACTGACTGTCTGTGGGACCTCAGGAAAGTCACACTCTTTCTGGTTTGTCTCCTCATCTGTAAAATAAGCAGGTTGAAACTAGACGACCTCTGGGGTCTTTTCCAGCTCTGGCTGTAAGCAAATTATAGGTCAATTCTGAAGCAAGAGCAGTTACAAATAGGTATCTACTAACAGTGACACACCAGCTTTTTTTGTATTTTTAAGGAAACAGAGAAATTTTAAAAAGAACAAACTTTCTGACCAGACTTAGAATTTGATTGGATAAAAAAAGTGTATTGGATTTCCAATACTAAATAATAAACATGAAATTGTTTTTAAAAAAAGCCATGGAGTATACAGCATATACTACAGAAAAGCAAAAAGAAAAAAAAAAGAAAAAAGTGTGTACAGAAAGGAAGAATTCTACACAGTCTTTCAGCTTCTCCTACATCAGATTAATAAATCAATATACACGTTTGTTCCAAATTGTTCTGAAGAAAGCTGCCATCCCACAGCTTGACTATCACCCTAGAAGAGTTACAATGTTTCCGGTCCAAAATCACAGGACAATGTAAGAAAATGTATTTAACGGTGAAAAAAGTGTAATACAGAGTATATACTGGCTAGAATAAAATGTTTTTCATTCTGTTTAACCTTTAAAAAAAACAAATTTGAACAGTTGTTTAAAAAATAAGCCATCACTGAAAAATACCTCCCTCACCCCTGCCCCGGCTGCCCCCTTCCCAATTTCATGGTAATATCAGCAGTCCCAAGGGGTGTTAACTACAGTGCAGCAACATTCACAAGCAGCCACCAACTTGGAATACGGAGTTACTGGGTGTACATTTCTTTGGGCAAAAGGTAAGACATTTTGCAAGGTGAACACCACCACCCTCCCTGGCCCTCACTGGAACAAAGAGGGGGCTAGCTGGTATTTCCAAAGTACCTTCTAGCTTATTGACATTCCTGAATATTTTCAATGGAATGCGGGGCCAGCTGGTCCAGGGTTGGGGGTTCCAATGCTGTACTTTTCATTGCCTCAGCATAATAAAGAGTTTATCGTTTTAGAAAAGTGCACAAAAAATCCAGAAAACGAGAAAAAACAATCTTTTTACAAGGAAGTTTAAAACCCAAGCTAGCCTGTAGCCAGGTATGGCAGTGCTCTGGGGTCCCGCTGGGGAGTGGGCTGATCTGTGGGTGGGATGCTCACTGGCTGTCCCTCATCTTCCACTTTAGGCCCCTGGGTTAGTTAGGGGCAGAAAGCAACGCACTGCCCTCATTCCTACTGATTAAATAAACCTCAGCTTCTGAGGCCCACGGGTGAGGGTGAGGGAGAGGGCAGGGGGTGTTCGTGGGGGGGTTGAAGAAGAGAGGACAACATTGCTGAGATCAGCACCTCTTTGTAGGGCAAGCTGCTCCCTCCTTTCCCTCTCCTCTCCTCTCCACCCCTTCACTCCAGACACTCAGGAAGTAAGACTTCACTCAGTATTTGCTTTCCAAATACATTCTTCACAGAAAACTTTCATCTTGTTTTCCTTGAAACAAAAGATTGCAAGATAACGGACGTGGAGGCTTCATGAGAAACTTCCATTCTCAGGGAAGGGCTTTATTTTGCAGCCCAACTCATCTCCAGTTAGGGATCCTGGCTAATGCTGGGTCAATGGGAACTGAGGAAAAGGAGGAATTCTATCAGGCCAGCCACTGCCCTCGGCTCTGGTCCCTTCACGCTCTCCTTTCCCCAGCCCAAACAGCACAAGTGTGGCGATTGGATCTCAAAACAGCTTAGCTCGCTCTGCTGACGGTTAAAGCTCTGGCTTCTTAAGGGACCCTGACGTTGTCACTGGCAGCCTGGAATGAGGAAGGGGCTTTCTGCTTCAAGATCTTCTTGCCCTGACTAAAACTCAGTATTTCGGACCTCGCTGGGCGGGACCTCGGAGCTCATCTCCCCTAACCCTCTCATTTAGAGATGAAGAAGGACATTTCTAGAAGTCTGCTGTCACACTTTCTGCAGGCGTGTAAAGCTCTGCTAGGGCCCTGGAAACACCACCACGGCATCATTTTGTTCCCTCTCACTTCCCCAGCTTGGAAATGTAGCCCCCGTGGTCTTCACCTGATTTCTGATGAGGAGTTCTTCGCTGAAACAAGAGTCTCCAAGCATGCATGAGCACTGCGGTAAAGCTGCCTGAATTCAAAGGCCAGCCACACACGAAGAGCATTTTTTAACCAAATTCAAATGGAACTAACGGCAAATTAGTAACAATAGAGGCTGTGATGTGACAAGGAAGGACATTAAAAAAAAATGCTTCCAAATTCTGCAGGATCCTGGAAGAGAGGACAAAAACGGAAATAATCATGGGACCTCCCGTGGCCCTTCCCCCCCCCCTTCTTCCTACCCACCCTAATCCCACCCTGCCCTACCCCATCCTCCCCCAATACTGAAACTGCACAAAAAGTGACAAACAAATCTTTCAATGTTACATTTCATTCAAATAGATCTGTAATCTCACAGTGATGAGAGGAAAAAGTCAGGCCTTTAATAATTATAATAAAAAAATAATAATAATAAAAAAGCTTACAAATAGCAATGCAACATCCCCCCCACTGGCCCCCCCCCCCCCTCCCAAGTGATGGACTGACTGTTGGCAGAGGACAGATTACTCAGAATAAAAAACAAACTCAGAACCCCTAGAACAAGCCACACTGTCAATGATTTTCCATACACAAGAGAAACAAGCAGTCAAATGTCAGGCCAGGCTGCGGAAAACAACACTCTAATTGTTCTTTCTTTTTTGGATTACATAAAAGGCTTTTCCTTTAAAAAAAAAAGATAAAATAAAATAAGAAACAAATAAAATTGTACACAAACGCCAATGTCCAACGCTCAATAAAGGTGGTGCAGTCACAACAGTGAGATGAAACCTGAGGGGATCTCGGCGTGGATCCCCCCCGTGGCCTTTCCCCAAGACACTCCGCCATGGCAGAGAGTGCCCAGTCCACGCGGCGTCAGAGGCAGAGGGTCGGAAGCTGCCCCGGCCATGACTTCATCCACGATGACGACAGCGCTGATGCACCGGCCGGCTCGCGTCCTCGACCCCGACGCTCTCGTGTGCTGTCCTCTCACTCTGTACAATTCCTTGTTTTCCAAGGCCAAGTCCCAAGACTCAGGAAATGGGGTTTGGAGTCACGTCTGTCTGAAGGCGGTCATGCTGTTGTGATGGCATTAAGGTCCTTCATTAGTCCTTCCAGGTGGGCCATCTCTTTGGTCAGCTCATCCGGTTCATAGCTCTGTGGGAAAGGTCTTTGAGTTAGTGCATGAGTCAATCAATCAGAAGGCTGATAGAAAGCCCTATAATGTGCTGGGAATACAGATTAACAGACCTATTAAGCACCTACTTTACACCAGGCACTACCTATGTATTGGCCATATCTCTGCTTTTAAAGAGCATGCATTTCATTGAGAGAAATCACATGTCCACAGGTAAGGAGTTATACAAAATAAATACAAAGCCACTTCTAGGGAGTGAGGGAGGGGAGGAGTCATGTCAAGGACCCCTTGTAGAGGTGACGGCACTTGAAAGAAATGAGGAGGGGAGGAGGCAGGTTGTTTCAGGGATAGGGGGCAGACGGGCTATTCAAGAGCCTACAAACAAGGGGTGTATGGGGGAGCAGCAGGAAGGCACGTTTCACTAGACCATGGAGTCACATGCAGTAAGTCTGGAAAGACAGGCTGGAGGCTGCTTGTGAAGGGCTTTAGAGCCACATTTTGTCCTAGAGACAAGAGGGATGAAGGGAGCTTCTTGAACAGGAAGTGACCCAGTCTGTTGTATGCTTTAGGTAGGAGGAAGATGGCCCCAATCAGGAAGCTACTGCAGCAGTCTGGGTGAGAGGTGAGGGTGGCCTCGACTAGGGTTTAGACTAAAACCCAGAGGGACGGACAAAAAAATCTACCACCAAGGTGGGAACACGAAGACTTGCCAACGGATTGGATGGGAGGGGCAAACGAACGAGAAGAAGGCGGGGTGACTGGAAGGACGGTGGTACTTTAAAAGAAGTAAGGAAATTTGGCCAAAAAAAGCAAGCTGTCCAACGACTGCCGAGGGACCGGCCGGATGGCCCAGGACGAGGTGGCGGTGGAGATGAGATAAGGAAACAAGACTGATGAACAGACTCCAGGCTCCGGGTGAGCCCGTCACTGCAGTCAGATCAGCCAGCCTGCCGTGGGTGCATGAGAAGAGAAGTCACTCACGCCCCACCTCCAGTCTGGTGTGACAAGGAGCCTCCGACCCAGGGCAAATGGAACAATACTGCCGCTTTTACCTTCACGTTCTCCCTCTCTGACCTCGCCCCCCAAATTAATTTTTATTGATAATGTCAAACTGACCTGGTTATTTTGTAAAGGAGATCTTAGGAAAATGTTAAGAACCTGAAGATAAGCAACAAAACCCAGTTCCTCACTGAAGAGTTCTGTCGATCAGAATCATTCTGGACAAGCTGCTCCTTCGCTGGTCTGAGAAGGTGAAACCCCCCCACCCTTTCCTCAACCACCTGAAGAATCCCACCTCCTCCAGGCTTGCACATCCATGGGATAACTGGACATCAGCTCTGGGGTCTTTGGGGTGTGAACACTGATGGTGGGAAGAGGAGAACAGCCCACCCAGCCCTGGCTATCACAGTCACATTTCCACATTTCTCCTTCCTTTTTTCCTGCTCACATGATTGTTCTGATAAATGGGCTGCAAAGTTTCTGCATCACTATGGGCAAAATACAGAGAAACTTTTCTATGCTGTTAGACAATCAAAATTATTTTCTAGCACCTTTAACTAATGAAAATGAACTGAATCCAATGGGCTTAGGTAGTCTGCCTAAGGGGGCTAAAAGAAAACCCAAATCCTCCCACTGCTCTGATGCTGCCTCAGCAGAATCAAGAGAGAGAAAGCAGCTGGGTGAGGGGAAATCCCTGGAGCCTGCTCTCGCTCCTTTGCTTAAGTATGGACAGAGTGTGCCTGAGGTCACATTCAAGGGTCGATGTTTCTGTTAGAATCAATGTCGAGACAGTGACATTCTGACCCAGTAACCGAATGTACGTAGGCTTATGCTGCATGGGAATGTGTTTTTACCGTCTGGTCAGTTCTAGCAACTGACAAGGACAAAAGCCCCTCGGACATTTCTGCTGTGAATGCCGCCCCCTCGCAGCGGATCCCCACCTAGGAATGGGACTGGCTTCCTAATTCGGCTCAGATTACAGATTCCAAGACCTGCCTCCTTGGAGGACGGCTGTGGTCCCTCCCCTAGGGCTGGACAGGAAGTGGTGACCTCTCTATCCAGCCCGACAGCCTCTCTCCTGAGCTCCAGTCTGACATCATCAACTGCCTGCCGGACATTTCCCACTGCACGTCCAGTTGCCGTGCAATCGTGTCTGACTCCCTGGGACCCCAGCTGTGGCTTTCTTGTCAAAGACACTGGAGTGGTTGGCCATTTACTTCTCTAGCTCATCTTACAGATGAGGAAGCTGAGACAAACGGGGTGATGTGACTTGCCCAGGGTCACACAGCTACTAAGTGCCAGATCTGAACTCCTGAGGACGAGTCTTCCTATTTCAAGCCCAGTGCTCTATCCACTGTGCCACCCAGCTGCCCCTGTAGCATGTGCTGCAGGCATCTCATAATTAACACTACAGAATTGAACTCATTAGCTTTCTCCTGAAACCTACCCATTTCTGTCAAAGGCACCAAAATTCTTCTAGGTGGCCAGGTTTGTCCAGGCTCCTTACACCCCCTGACCTTATACACATACATGCATATGTATACACGTATATCTACATGCATACACACACGTGAGATCTCACCTCTGCGCCTGTCTCTCTTCACCTGGTCACCAGCCTAAGACCCTCATCCCCTCTTGCCTGGATGATGGTGATGGCCACCCTCTTGGTCTCCCTGCCTCCAGTCTCCCCTCCCATGGTTGCATTTCCAGGAGCTGATCATGCCACTCCACTTAAACTCCAGCCGCTTCCTTGTTTCCTCTCAGATCAAATACCAACCCTTGCTTGGCATCTAAGGCCCCCTCCAACATGGTGCACTCATTTCATACCTCACTCCCTTTCTCATCCTCTCTGGTGCAGTCACACCTGCCTTCCTGAGGGTCCTCTCTTGACCCTCTCTCTCCTGTGTCTGGGCTGTGGCTGGAATGCATTCCGTCCTCACCTCTGCCTCAGGCCAAGGCCTGCCCTGCTCCTCAGGTCTCAGCGCCTCCCCCTCCTCAAAATGACCTTGTATTTATTTTGTACATATTTATGCCCATTCATGCTCTCTCCCCCACAGAACGTGCACTCTTTGGAGGCAGGGGCAGTTTCACTTCTGTCTCCCTGGAACAGAGCCTGGCACACAGCAGGGGCTTCAAGAAATGCTTGTTGGCTGACTGATGGATTGACTGGCATTTCCCTAGCATGCTTTTAGTCACGTTTAGTCACTGCCCTTGGAGCTCAAAGGTTGAAAGCCATTCTGGGGTCATTTATTTTTACCAGAAAGTCCTGATGGCACACTTTGCTCTCCTGTGCTTCGGTACTCTTGTGTTAAGGAATGCTGAGCTGAGAGCAGCAGAGATACCGCTAGCCAAAGACAGAAACTCCAAAACAGAATGCAGGAACCCTACAATTCCCTTCCTATTTTGTGAACTGCAAATTCAGGCACAGCCACATTCCCACCCAGTTCACAAAGGGATGTGAAGTCAGACTAAAGAGTGAATAAGGACGACCAAGATGATCATGTGAAGACCAGAGGGAAAGGAGCAGACAGAAGGGACAGGACAGGCAACGTCCAAATGCCAACTGCTAGAATGCTGTGACAGCTCAGTCTAAACCAGAACCATGAACTGCTCGGGTCCTTAGCATCCGGGCAGGGCTCCTGGGAGGCTCAGTCAGCACTGATGGAGGCTGTGACGCCGAGCGTGAAGACCATTCCCTTACACTCTCCGAGTCGTCCAGCATCCTCGTGGTCTCCTGCACGTCGGGGGCACTGGGAACGATCACTGGCATAGGAGGCCGGCTTCTCCCCAACGTCCCAATCGACGCCGTCTTCACTGAGTGAAGGTGATGGTTTGGAGCTGAAAAGGGAAGTTGGCCCTGTCAAGAGTGGGCTCAGCCACGGCCTCTGCTGAGTGACCACAGGCCACCAGTCGAGCACTCAGCAGCAGAGAAGGTGGTTCCCATTGCTCAGATGGGAGCTCTCTGAGGCACGGACACTAGGAGTGATGGGGATTCTGTGGCAAGAATGGGGCAGAGAATGACACTGAGGGGGCCCTACCGACCTCTCACAAGGAGGTGGGGAGTTGTCTAATGACCACAAATGGGTCTGAGGGTTCATGAACTGATTTTGTGGTAAGCAATCACAAATTACCAAGTTGTGTGTGCATGTGTGTGTTTGTATGCACGCGTGTGTGTATGTGCTTGTGCGTGTGTGTGTGTGTGTGTGTGCATGTGTGAGAACACCAAGAATATACAGGGAGCCTGAGAGGGGAGGAGAAGGGAAGGGAGGCTCCCTCTCAACTGTCAGCCTGCATTGGCTTTGAGCCCTGAGGCTCCTCCCTTTCCCCTCTGGCTCATGCATGTGCCCTTACCTTGCTGGGACAGTAATGGTGTGCTTGGTAAGGCGGGGTCATAGGTGGGGGGCCCTGGGGGCGGAACTGCGGGCACAGCGAAGCTCTTCAGTGGGTGAGAGGGACGAACGTGGGCTGTAGGAAGGTTTGGGCCAGAGCCTTCTTCCTGGGCGCTGGCCAAATAGGAGGAGCTGGTGGCCCCCTCCGGATCTGGATGGTCAGTGCAGCACGTCTGAGACGAGGAAGCTGGCAAGGTGTCGGTGCTGGGGGTGTTCCGAACTGATTCTACAGTCAAAAAAAGGACAAACGTTAGCAGCTCTTGAGGCCAGGAAGGTGTTAAAGCTTAGGTTTTAGGTCCCTTCTAATGTAGGGGTCAGCCAGACCATTTGGGGGGACACTTCTTCCAAGGGAACTAATTTGCAACAATGTGACATTAAGGATGAACCGCTCTTAAAAACAAATTCTAGCAGCATGAAGATCCATCCCTATTATTTTTTTTCTATGTAGCCAATATTTTATAAGTTCAATTCAATAAACATTCATTATGTACCTCTGTGCCCTAGGTACTAGCAGAGGTGCCGAGGACATCAGAGTGAAATGAGACCTAATATTTCCTCTGAAGGAACTCATGCTCATCCTAGGAGGGGACACATAAAGCCAATCCATAAAAAACTACAGTACACATTATAGTAGAATGAGTGTGCGAGAAAAGTCCAGACGGGGTGAAATGAAACATTTATGAAAGGGAAGATCACTCAGGGCTGGGGGCATCAGGAAGGTTTTACGCAAGAAGAGACAGGGAAGGGGGGACCCCAGATGAAGAGTGTGCAAAGGTGAGAAAGGCAGGGCCAATGTAGGGAACAGTTCACAGAGCAGTGTGACAGGCCGTGGCCAGGAAGTGACCCTACCAAATCTGGGGAGTCAGGATGCTCTTGCTGTCATACCAGGAAAAGACAGGAGAGCCCGAAACAGGGCAGCAGCAGGGGGAGTGCAAAGGAGGAGGCCGATGTGAGAGGTGGACGCATCTTGTGTATGGAAGTAGGACAGCGTCACCAGTGGGGAGGAGGAAGCTGGAAAGAGGGCGAGGTGGGCAGTGGCCAAGAGAGTGTTTCACTTTGGACACGCTGAGCCTGACCCAGGTCATTGAGTCCAGCAGGCAGCTGCAATGGGGGATTCTAGCTCGGGGAGACAGAACAGCTTCAGGGCAGATGTAGGAACCATTTGCATTAAGTCTCTTCTCTGGTATGTACACAACCGTACAAGTGCAGTTGAAAGGTGACCACTAAAACCATGGAGGGGATAAGGTCAAGGAATGAGAAAGAAAGTGTAGAGAGCAAAGAGGTAAGGACCAAGGACAGAGTCTTGGGGAATGTCTCTGCTTTAGGGACCATGGGGATGCAGAACTGGGAGAGAAAGCAGAGATTTCTCTGAAGTAAGCAAATGGGGAGAAAGAGGTAAGGAAAGCCTACATAAAGAAGGTTCCTGATGACCCATCTCCCTGATATATAAAAGTTAATGATTCTTAATTCTCCCCTAATTGTTTTACAGCCTTAGATGATAATTATTCTATCCGCTTCTACTCACCAAGCATTTGTGAGGTGCCTACAAGGTCCCCAGCTCTCACTCAGGAGCTGGGACACATCAAAGGGAGACCTCCAAGAGTTCCGGACAAGATCGCCATGTTACTAGGCAAGAGTCCCAGATGGGCCCCCCAAGCTGGAAAGGCCCTAAGAGGCTGCTGAGGCCGGTCGGCAGAGGGGGAGCTGAGAGCCTTCTGAGGCAGCCCTTCCAACTCTGACCAGCTCCAATTGTTAGAAGGTTTTTCTTGACATCAGATCTAGTTCTGCCCTTTGCTCTCCCCAATCTAATCCTCTTTCCGTATGACAAGCCCTTCCAAATGCCTGGAGATAGCAACCACATGCTCCCAAGCCTTTTAGCACACAGGGGCATCTGGGCACAGCGACTCCAAGGACCATCCCTGAACACTGCTTTCTTTCTGTCTTCTCAAGGCCCAGTCACCACGCGGTTGTACCCTTCCCTTGCTGTCCCTATTTCTCCTTCTGTGCTTCCAACCCTTGACGTGCCTTTAAACCTCAAGTCTCTCCTTAATGTTTTAGTTAAAATGAACCAAATAAGGGCCTTTTGATTAAACATCATGGGCTAGTCTGACTCGGTGTTACTGAATGCACTAGCCATCCTAGGGATTTGGATGGCGGCACAGACAGCACGTTCATAAAATCTGGGGATCACACACACAAAATTGGGAAGAACAGCTAGATATTCGGACAGACAAGAAAATTCAGTGGGCATCAATATAAAGTCTTAGCGTCACTGATTCAGAGCTGGGAGACACCTCAGAAGGTCGGGTCCAACTCTCTGTCATTTTGAGCAAGAGGAAACAGAGACCTAGGGTCACACGGAGAGTAAGCGGCAGAGCCACAATTTCCTTTCCCACTCTTTTCTTAGCTTGGTTTTATTTGGGTTTTTTTCTTAGACAATATATTCCCATTTGGTCTCTGTTACAATTTTTCAGTGTGAAGCTTAAGTGGAGAAGGTTGACTTTTCTAGCCAGGTTTTATGAAATGAGATAACGTGCTTTGTGAACCTTAAAGTGGTACATAAGTGCCAGCTATCATTACTGATGTAACAGAACAGATAAATGGGAAGTGGGGAGGGGCTGGGTGCCTGGGTGTTTGATACTAAGGGTGAGGGCACAGTGCCAGGAGGCCCTGGCTCATCGAGGGCCGCATTCCTCTTTTCCTGGGGTCCAGCCTGGCTGGGGGCAGCAGCACTCATCTCGCTAATGTGGGGAGTGGAGCACAGGTGTCAAACACCTCTGAGTGCAGCCCAATTCAGATTAAAATGCAATTAGGAAATATTTAACAAAATAAATAAAAATACAATAAATCATAGATAACATTAATATCTAAGTCAATTAATTAATTAATATTTCTAAGTCAACATGTGGCCCTTGTTTCAAGCTGAGCTGGACCCTGCTTGTAGGAAGGGCATGGATATAGCCAATGAGACTCTTCTGAATGTGGTGCCCCCACCTTCTAGAAAGCCGCACCTGCTGCATGTTAATGCAGACATACCTACATTAACTATAGACAGTTCTTTACTCGTGACCATAGAGGCAAAGGCAACAAAAACTACACACATTAAAACAAATACCATGCATCTCCCTCTAAGGCAGAGGCAGCCCCAAACCAGTAGTCACACCTCAAAACCTAGGAGCTGAAGGAGAGAAATGGGGCAGCTGTGGAGAGGCAGCACTGAGTATGAAAAAGAACTGGAGGTCTAAGGAACCTGAAAACACCAGAGTTAACAGTATGGATGTGATCACAGCAGCTGGGTGGCACAGTGGATAGAGCACTGGGCCTGGAGTCAGGAAGATCTGCGTTCAGATCAGGCCTCAGACGCTAACAAGCTGTGTGACCCCTGGCCAAGTCACCTAGGTTTGCCTCAGTTTCCTCAACTATAAAGAGTGAGATCACAATAGTGCCTATTTCCACTGTTGGAATAAGAATAGAATGAGATACCTGCAAAGAGCTCAGCACGGTCCCTGGCACAGAGGAGGCACTTAACAAATGCCTGCTCCCTTCCTCTTCCCTTCCCCTAAGAAAGCTAACATGACATTAGGCAGTGAGAAGAGAGGCCCAGTGTTAGGACCTGGGAAGAGGTAATCCAATCACATGCAGAGTAATTTTTCCAGATCTTGAGGAGGTTGCTAATAATATGCTGGAGAGTGTTCAGAGGAAGACAAGGGGAGGGGGATGGGCCTCAAGTTCACCCCATTTAATGGACCAAGGATATGCTCAGGTTGGAGGAGACAAGACTTATTCCAGGGAGAGGCCAGTTCACCACCTTCTCACATGTGACAGGCAACCGGACGGAAGGGGTTTGGACTTGTCCTGCTCGGCCTCAGGGGGCAGAGTGAGGAGCGAGGGGGCGTGACTTCAGAACAGTCACCTAACAATGAGCGGGAGCTACAGGGAGGTGGCATTCTCCTCCTCCTCCTCCTCCTTGGATACCGTCCAACAAACACAGGCTGAATGCCTGCTGGGCGAGCTGCGGAGCAGGCTTCTATTCAGGCGTGGGCTGGACAAGACGGCCTTGGAGGCCCCTTCCTTTGGAAGACCTTATGATTTTGATGTTTAGGGTTTAAAAAAGGTCTGGAGATCCTTTGAAATACTGGTTATAAAGTAATAATCAGTAAGTCCTCTCTTACATAAGCTTGGCATATCAGGGACAGACTACCATACTGATGGATGCACAGGCATAAGTCACAGAAAGAAGAATGTGATTGTGAAAAGTATGTCAAGTGAATTTTTATACATCAAAACCTATTTCTCACTTGCTTTCTCCTGATTTGTAGCTGATCTCCACTGGCTCCTACCCTATCGTGTACTTTCCTTTGCCTCTGAAAGCTACTGTGTCTAAGTTATTTAACTACATTAAAGAGCTGCCACTTTAAAAGCCACTGAAACAAATTCCTTTGTCAAATAAAGAATACTTTTAAAAGTAAACTATTGCTTCTAATTTTTCTGTTTCGTAAATGGATCCTCACGTACTGAATTCTCTTCCCTACATTACTGTGATTAATGCTAAGATGAAGAAATGCCATGCCACCCAGACACATGGATAAAGGAGACTCCATCGTAAGAGGCCCAAACACCTTGAGCACTGTGACCTTTCACCCGCTGTCCACTCTTTCCTCAGGACTGCTTTTATAACACCATTCTTTGCTACATGCTCTGCATGTATCTTCTGTGTAACGATTTATGGCGTCTCCTCATTAGACCACGTTCTTTGAAGACAGGGGCTGTTTTTTGCTTTTTCTGTGTATTCCTCATGTTCAGCACAGTGCCCGGCACACATTAAGTACTTAATAGACACCTGCCGCTTGATTTCCAAGCTGAGACGCTGTCAGCAGATGATGCAAGGCTTTCTCCCTACTTCAGGCTGCAGGGCTCAGATTCTGGCTTTCTGCTTCAAGTCAGTCCAACACAGGAGGCTTACTGCTCAACACAAAACCAAGGTGAAGACCTGGAAGGTGCAGAGGAGAATGTCCTCACCGCTGCTGCCTAGGAGGAGCTGCCTGGCCCCCTACTCTGATAAGCCTGGCACTCCTGAGGTTCTCACAGACAGCAAAACAGCTTCAAGAACTGAACTGAAGTCCGAGGAAAACACCGTTTACTATGTTACTGAATCCTACTAACCCAACATTACAGTTACCTGGAAGGAAAAACAACTCTACTCTGTAAATACCAGGTAACCATAAAGTATGCTCTTTCCTTCCAAGCTTTCATTGATTTAAAAGAGAAATAAACAATGGAGGAAACTACTGAATAAAGATGCAAGTTCATGACCTTACAAAAGTGAGGTTATTGATTAAAATCACATACCTTACAATGAACACTCAAAATAGGGGAGAAGGGCTGGAGGCGAACTTTAGAGACAAAAAAGAATCAGTTTAGGAAACTCTTAGTTTCACTCTCAGCATACTCTGCTCAGCTACAACAGAAGGGTGAGGAAAACTCCCCAAACCCATGACCAAACTGCGACTTCTGGAATTCTTGAGCATTTTATCTCCCCCAGTTCTTTGCGGATGGATTCTTGCTGGGCCTCAACACTTGGGTCTCACCTGTAGAATTAGCCCTGTCTGAATGGGACAAGGATGTGCCAATGGGCCATGGGCTGCCCTGAAGGTGGAGATGGCTGCGGGTCGGAGAAGCGAGGCTGCTGGAGTGGAAATGATGGTGAGGGTTATCGAGGGAATGGATGGGATGGGCACTAATCACGGCTGTGGATGAACACAAGACAGAAAAATGCTTAACATACCTGCACAGACACACATACATTACAATAACATCACAACCAGCCACTTCCCTCCCACGTGCAATCCAACAATTGAAGGCCCTATGAAAAGGGACAGTCATTTAATGTTTTGCATTTATTTTTATGTCAACATATTCCCTTTGAAAACTACTTGCAACACAAATGCTAATTTAGTGTTTCTCATGTGCTGTAAAGATATGTAAAAACAGAAGCCCTTGCTTCGTGAAAATTTTTTTTTTTTGGCTAGGCAATGGGATTAAGTGACTTGCCCAGGGTCACACAGCTAGTAAGTGTTATGTGTCTGAGGCTGGATTTGAACTCAGGTCCTCCTGAATCCAGGGCCAGTGCTTTATCCACTGTGCCCCTTCATGAAAATTATTAAACCACTCTGCTGTTTCTTGGCTGAAGAGCAAGGCACCTGATCAATACAGTTGAACATATGAATGGATAGTGGTAAAATTGTAAGATATGTGAAATGATGTAATGTGGTACCTGAAGTGCAACCCAAGAGGCTTCTTCTATTGCTGACAGCTTAACAAGCAATCCTTACTAGTGTCAATTTACAGGAAGGGATGAGAATCTCTTGCTTTCATTTAAAGACATCACTGTTTAGAGGTTTGACTGGAATCCTTCCTCATTTCTATACTTGGCCTGATGGGAGCTTGCAGTGAATTAGCTACTTTGGGTATAGAATCCAAATGTCTAGTTTAGGGGAATTTCATGTACTGTTGAGAAAGTGAATACAATTCTTAATAAAGGATCTTTTTACATATGAGCTGGGCTCAAAGAGACAGGCTCTGTACAAGGGAGCCAAATACCCAAGAGAAGGAATAGTCATTACGAAATTCTAAAATTCACTTTCTCGATTATGGCCAGCTAAACAACAACCACAGAAAGGGGATGACTAAGAACAAAATGGCCAACCTGATCAGTAAAAATGGTTTTTCTTTCTTTTCACAGAATTTAAACTACAAATATAAAGTATCCTTCCCCCCCCACTCTGTACAAGGACTCTGTGATCACTTTCATTAAGGTTAATTACCTTTCTGAGACTCAAGAAAATGATTTGTCATCAGGGCAGTGTTTAGGGGGTTGTTGGGTCTCCATTTCTAAAACTTACTCAGGTAAAAGCAAGTTAAAATGGCCATCGAGGGCAACCTTGGAGAGGAAAACAAGTTAAAGACTTGAGGGTGAGTGAGTGGAGGGGGCAGTGGAGCTGGCTCTCTGCCATGTCCTGGTTGGGTGACCCTGGACAAATGTCCCTTTGCTTCTCAGGACCCCAGGCAGCTCTCTAAGAATGGGTGCTGATCTGCACTGTTGGAAGGAATTACTCCCAGGGAGCTCCTTGCACTGATGAAATCACAGGTTTTGGAAAAAATTAAAATGGCTATCTAAGAGGATCACACAGACTAAATACTGCAGCTCAGTCAGGACCACATGCTTTTCTTTTAAATTAAATATACCTTTCAGGGATCAGGACGTAAACCAAAGAATGAGTCTCTAAAAGTCACATGGACAGAGCAGCAGGGGAGCCAGGAGGCAGCCCTGAAGCCTCTTCTTTGGGCTGGGGCCAAGGACACACGGACTTATCAGTAGGGGCAAAGAAAGACCACTTCCCTTCCCAAGCATCAGCAAGAAGAAGACACCAAGATAAATCTACGGCCTCCTCACTGCAAGGCTCAGATTCAAAGGCTTATGGTTACTCAGACATCTCACAAAAGGCAAAGCTCATCTTGGACAGCTCTCTTCTCTCCCAGGGCGTTTCTACGATCTTAGCCCCTCCCTAACCGCCATGGGAACAGCTCTTTCATCTGCAGGAGCGAGGTCAGCTAGATTCTTTAGCTCTCAGCAGTACTCAGGCTCCTGGGGTCAGCCTGTGAGAGGACCCCACTTTATGAGCGGCCAGGATGCACAGCTGCCTCCTGGTTTAAGAGGAAGTGTGGCACTGCAGGATTGTCAAAACCCAAAGACAATAGGAACAACGATTAGACTATTGCCATAAGGATTATTGAATTAAGAGAGATGACTCATATCTTCTCTTTCCCTTCACCCAACAGTAAAGTCATAAGAATTAAATCAGTAGACTGTATACTTAAGCATGTTATATGTCTCCCCAAATAATCAAAGAATAAAGTTGGCCACCTTTTCCAACATATATAAATTGGGAACAAATCTGGAAATAAGGATGATCACTATTTTGTTATTTTTTAAAGGAAACACTAGCTAGATATATGTGTGTATTTATATATAAATAATGAATTACCATTTGAATCCAAACCAAAAGAAACTGAAATCTGTTGATAAATTACTTCTGAAGATATAATGAATGACCTGAAAAAAGGGACATGTCAATGGTTGTGGGGTACCTGTGCAAGGCAAATCCTTGTATCTTCTGGGCTAGATGTTAGACTGCCAAATACAGTTTACTCCTCTCTACTTCTACTTAAAACATTTTCATAGGTTCTAGTAGATAGCTAGACTCTCATTCTTGCTAAGCAAGTTTTTAGGATCTGGCCATCAGACACATTTATGTGTAGATGGGAGGAACCCAGGAACAGGGTGAGAATGACTTTCTTATTACTGGGAGAAGGATAACTCATGATTATTCAATTAAAATCACTTCTCCATGCCTTTGGAATAGGCATTCCATGCCCCAGGGAAAAAGCCATTTTCCTCAAAATTCCCAATACGCCCAGGTATTTAAAGGACTTTACTGCCTCTAGAACAATAAAATATTCCTAAGAAACTTATCAGTATTGAACAGATATTAGCCAGGCTAAGAGCTGTTAAAAAAAACAAACCAAACCACCCTTGCTTTCATGTGTGCTGACCCACTCTTTACATTCCTTTACCATGTGTTTCTTGATTGGATGGTCAGGTCTATTCCTCTGAGTCTGTGGCTGCCTCACTACATGAGAAAGGATGACTACCTCAGTGATTTTTAAACCTCTGATTCAAAAATTCCTGGTGAATGATGCTTGCTTACAAAACAATGTCAACTTCAGACTCTTGGTAGGTTTTTGATTGGCAGGTGGTTAACATTCTTGCCTTAAGCTCTCATCATTAAATTTATTGATGAACATCGATATTTGGGCAAAATTAAATTAGGCACTGGTTCATGGCTCTTTCCAAATCTAGTAACACAACTGATGAGTTAACAGACTATTCTAAACTTACGCTGGGGTGGCTGAGAGTCAAAAGGCATCATCATTTTTGGTCTCATTCCTCGCCTTCCAGCCAGTGTAGACATACTATCCTCCGATTCGTGCCCTAAACACCAAAGATCAAAGTTAGTTACAACCTAGTAGTCAGTCCAGCACAACCACTTAGAAGCTTGATTAAAAATCATTTTAGTGGTGGAACCAAGAATCACAGACACCATGGTTAGTCATAATGATGAACAAAGTGGTTCTCAAAATACTCCTAAAAAAAGGTCAAGGAATGAGAGAAACTCAAGATAGTCCTCTCTGAAAAACCAGTGGCACCAAGGAGCACCATATTTTCTTCCACTGGTTAGAAGACTCTGACTACATGGTCAGAATTCTATGCATGTACGCTTATGCTCTTTGAAAATAGGGCCTTCACAGACAGTAACACTTTTGAGCCAAAACATTCTAGCTGGATCTCAATAGAAGTGAGAGAGAAGACATGAGAATGTGTTATGCACATCAACTGATCTCTTCCTTTCAATACAGCTTTGGGGAGATCAATCTTGTTAAACAAAGTGAGCAGGGAAGCTAACTCCCTGCTGGCTCCTCATTTATCACAAGTTATCCCCAAGACCATCTATGGAAATGTTCTGTAACCATATAGATTTTATGAAATCAATTCTTCAAACATTGTCAAAACAAACAAAAAAACCACCTTAGAGTTGAAGACAATTTTAATAATAACCTGTAATCTTCATATAAGGGGAAAAACTCTTTCACTAAAAAATAATACCTCTATATGAATTCCGTCTTTGATGGATACTGCTGTCCATGGAATTATCAACAGGGGTAATATCTTGGGAGTTTCGTGGGATCGGGGTATCAGTCATGATTGGGTTTGGGTCTGGAGACTTATCAATAGGCTTTAACTCCAGCCTCTCATGATGGATCCAAAGGTCAGGAGGTTTGACATCTTTGGAATTTCCTTTGTATTTATGTGAGCCGTTCACAGATTTGCAGGCAGCTCGTTTCCTATGGTAGAAAAATAAAAGTATAATTAAACAAGTAATCAAAACTCCTTGTAACACTTTTCTGTCAACAACAAAAAGATCAGATTCCTATGGATGACATGTAAACACAAGATCTGCCCATCGGAGGCAGGCAACACATAGGAATTGGCTGTTGGAGTGGAAATGTTGTTTACATTACAGAGAAAAGTGAAAACTCCAGATTAGGATTTGTGTTAGAAGGAAAAATGTTTCAGTGGGTCTGGAGAATGGAAAGGACCTAAAATTCTACAAGGGAAGTTATCTCAGGAGGGATTGGAAGTGCTCAAGAATGAACTTGTAAAATCACACAAGGAAACAGAATAATGAGGAAAAGGAGGATATGAATTCATTGGCTAATTTATATTTTAAAAGTCTACATTCAGCAGACAGAAGAAAAGGCAGGTAAAAGGAGAAAAGATACAAAAGCAGCACATGGCTGTGAGAAGTGGGGACACAAACACATTGTGAATGGAGCTGTGAACTGACAACACTATGACGTCAAATAATCAGAAATTAATTCGTACCCTCTGATCCTCTAATTCCACTTCTGGGAATGAACCCCAAGGAAACAAAATTTTAATATATACCAATACACTTATGGCAGTGCTCTTTGTAGGAGCAAAAAACTGGAAACAAAGTGTAAACACAATGATTGGGAAATGGCTGGTCAGACTGTGGCAGAATACTAGTGTTCTCACTCACTGTACAGAGGAAGTTGGGAAGGCTGGTATAAACTGACACAGAGCCAGGAGAATGATGCACACAGCGAAGGCAAGAGTGTAAATGAAAACAATGCAAAGAGACAGCAGGATTCAGATGATTCATGACGTCGAGTCTGGTCTCACGAGAGCTGAGGATGGCCACCTTTGTCCTGAAGTGACTGCTGTCTATACTGTCACCGTTACCTTTAGGAGCTGTGTTGGCTTCTCAGCCTTAATGACTTTCTTTCATTATAAAAGAAGTTTCTTTGCATGCACGTGTGTGCATGGTGCGTGTGTGTGTGTGTGTGTGTGTGTGTGAATGTATGTGTTGGGGGGCCTGAGAAGGGACAATGGTTTAAAAAACAAAATCCATCCCTGAAATATTTTAAAAAAGAATGAATGGTAATGTTAGCAGTGCTGAGGTTCAGATATGAGCGGAGTGAGGCTGCTGAAGAATGCTAATAAGTCAAATGAAAGGCATCATGGGAACTATGGACTCAGACCAAGAAGGGACCTCAGGGGATGTCAAGTCAAACCTCCTCACCTTACATATAAGAAAACTGAGGCACAAACAGGCTAAGAGATTTGCTTAGGGTCACAGAACCAGTGTTTGTGGCGGGATTTGAACTTTGGTCTTCTTGACTTCAATCCAGGCTACTTCTCTTAAAGACACTGGGCTTTTCTTTTTTTAAAGTGATACTGAGGAAAAGATGATAATCAAAAGGGGTACTGAACTATTTACAAATGTGAATGCGATAGTAATATAGACGGCAGTACTACTTAACCTTCATTTTACTTTTGTCTTCTCTGCCAAGAATGATGACCTCTGGACTAGAAAAGGCTGAACATAAATGGTGACCTGGGAGTTAGAACCCAAGATAATCGCATGGTCCTAAGAAGGTGAATAGCTGTTCTTGACTTCAAATCACCAAACTAAGACGAATGTTTTCCAAGGACACTGAATTGGTAGATAAGCCCACTGGGCCATTGTCAAGACGAGTGAAGAGCAAATGGCTCCATTTTCCAAAAGGATAAAGACAGTGGAGCCTATGCGTTAGACGCCGATAAGTTGACTATAGTCTACAGTTTCCATATGACTGGCTGGCTCCAGAAGACAGACTTAGGAGGAATCGATGGACACTGCAAAGAAGTAAATTTCAGTTTGATGTAAGGAAAAACCTCCTAATTGTCAGAGCTATCCAAAAATGGAATAACGAGTGCTCTGGAAGAAAACAGGTTCACCTTTGCCAAAAGTCTTTGAGCAATTAGTATGGTTTGGAATAGACTGCCTCTGAATTCCCTTCTTTTTTTTTTTATTAATTTACTTATTTTTAGTTTTCAACATTTACTTTCACAAGATTTTGAGTTCCAGTTTTTCTCCCCATCTTTTTTACTCCTCCATCTTGGCCTGAATTGTCTTCTGAGATTTTGCAACCAGTTCTTTAAGACGGGGGATACAAGTTAGCTGGGTCTGCAGATTCATCTATGTATATATATACTACCTAGTCTTTTTTAAAATTATGAGCATAACACCAAAAAAAATTTTAATACACAAAGTAGAACAGGAAAAAGTATTATATGTGAAACCACAAACCTCTACTATGTACACCTCACTCTGAAAAATTATATATAACAAATTCAATATGTTACTTGCAAAGCTGTCTGGCTTATGTATTTCCTTCTGTTCATTTAAAAATGCTTTTAATAATCTTCTTTTCTTTGGGAGGCAACATTATAGGTAGAAACACCCCCTCCCTGCTTGTCATTGCCTTCTGACCACTATCTACAATACTTCATCTTTTACTAGGTACTTTCTAATCTATAGATTGTGTGCATGATGTCCAGCTTATCTGTTATTTTAAAAAAAGCATGATGGATATGTGTATTTGATTTTAGGTTTGAAGTAAAAGACGGAGTTCAAGATTTTAAGTGTGGCAACAGAACTACAGTAAACATTACGTTTATGGGGACAGATGAATCTGAGTCACCAAATATAGAAGATATCTCCTGAAGAAAGGGCTTAAAGTGGAAAGAAATTTAATTTTAAAAACTTTAACAAGACGGAGAAAATGAGAGCTAGCCATCAGAATATATGCCAAAGGAGACCAAGAAGAGGTACGTATTCGCTCCTGGGGAATGGTTCTAAGACTAGCAAGAAAAAAGAAAGGTGTAAAGACAAAAAGTGTATAGAAAAAAAAAACAAAGAGAAATTCAAAATAATAACTCAGAAAAAAACTACATGAAGCTATCACTAGTAAATATTTGTGGGGCTTCTAAAAACAGAAAGAACATCCTCTAAAATCTTGATTCACATTGACTGAGTATATTAAAGAAAACATGACCCTTCCTGCAGTCTCACAGAAAAGTTCCTCTGGGCCAAGGGCATCCTAATAATCATTCAGAAGAAACTGTTTTTAAATACTCCTAGTACTTTTAAGTAGCACACACAGATCGACTAACGGAGGATGCCAGATAGTGGTACATCAAGGTCTTGGGTGGAAAGTCAAAGACTTAGGTTGACAGTTTTAAGGTTAGATAACTGCAATCGAAGTTGAAACTGATTGAAAAAAAGTTTCTTTGCAGAACCAATCTTTCTAAGAAGGGGACCAAATGACCAGGTCGTCATGCTGAAACACCCCAAACATTTCATGGTGCTTACTGATAAGCATTCTCTCACTTTTTAAACTTCCTCTTCCTAATCTTACTTCAGGTCCTAAAATCACACAGTAAGCCACTGGAAGCATCATTTACCTTAACATCTAGCAGATCAAATAATTTATAATTGATATGCTTATTATATATAACTTTTATTTATTAATACAAGTAGTTCTTCCAAATATTTGTTAGAAAACATTTTGTTTGCTGAGTTCTATTACATATACTTGAAAGGAATAAAACCATTTCTTTAAAAATATTTTAAAACCAGTTTATATTGGCCTTTACTCCATTAGGTGAAATATGTGAGGTTTGACTATATCCTGGAAGTCACATATTTATGTATTCACCCATGGCTTTTTTTTTTTAGTATTTGTTGTACTTTATCAATAACGTATGCAGAAATGAATAACTACAGGTCTAAAAATATCTAAAAGGAATTTAAAAAATTTTCTCATCAAATTATTCAGGGACAAAATCTTACTTGATTTGCTATTTCTTAGTTAACCTATCCACTGGAATGAATTTTGCTGCTCCTCCACACATACCTAATGAAGTCACTCATAGGCAAACTGTACTTCAAAGGTGCTCATCCCAAAGAGAATTCCTTCTCTTAATACAGATCGCAATTTATTCATGCATTATCATCCTATGTGATTCTTCTCTATACGGATCCTTCCTCCCTTCTCTCTCTGCCCCAGCTCCAACAAAGCAGTGGCAAGGATGGGCGTGCTTACTTTTTCTGGTGGGAGGTGGTGCGACGAGTGCAGAACACAGCAATGATCACCACCACCACAATGGTGAGGACGCCAATGGAGACGATGATGACCAAGAGCATGTTACTGTCTAGAGAGGAGGTGGGACTTCCATGAGGACTGTTACTACCTGAAGGGAGGAGAAAAAAGCATGTTGGTTAATGTATGGGGGAATCTTGAACACAATCAGGACACTGAAGGACATTTAAAAGTCTATTAGAAAGTTTTCCTACACTGTCCTACTTGAACAAACAGAGCCCCACCTCTGGCATTATAAAGCACATGGCTGATCTTATGGAACTTGTACCACAAATCAAGGCATATTTTCACTGACTTTCAGAATAACATAATGATAATAAACTGCCAATAGCATGTACATAATGCTCAATGGCTAAAAAGACACTTAGCTCTGTTATCTCACTTGGTCCTCACAATAACCCTGGGGTAGCTGTGTAAATATTATTCCCAGTTTACAGCTTTCCCAGAATGTAGTGCTAGAGGATGCCTAATAACAGACTGTGGTCACAAGGCCCTCCTCAGTTCACTGACGATGAAACGGAAGCTCAGAGAGGTTACCCAAGGTCACTTAGACAGTAAAGAACCTTACTTTGGGCTTTGACCCCAGGTCTTCTAACTTCAGGGCTGGTGCTTTTTCTACCACACTGGGCTGCCTTCAATAATCATAATTTCAAAGACACATTTTCTTAAAAAAATCTTTCCCTTCCCCTACTCCTAATTCTCAAATAAACAAAATGTGGGCATTTCCTTCTGCTATGCAAAGGCAGTGTAGGATAGCAGATACCGAGCTGGTTTTGTAATTGGGGAGACATGGGGCAAGTGATGATCTTCACTGGTAGGAAGAGCTTCCTCACAGACAGTTCCCTCTACCAATTAAATCACAGGTCTGGACCAAAAAACAAATGCAGATGGCAACTCCCACATGCCTGCTCTTTTTCATGGCTCCTGACCATCTCCTACCATAAGTTGGCCAACAACAGACCCATCCAACATGCAGGAATCATTCCTACAATTCTCTAGATGTCTTGAAGGAATAAAACAAACAAGCATTTATTAAGTACCTACAACATGTTACACACTGTGATAAGTGCTTTACAAATATTATCTCATTTGAAGATATTCAATGAAACACACAGACTATCCATTGATTATCTTTTGCTCTCAGCCTAATTTCATCTGATTTCACTGTAAGAAACACTGCTTTTATCAAGGCATTCTCTCATGTTTATGACCTCTGAGTCTGTACAACTAGCACACCATTCACTCACTTCCCTTTGCACTGTGGCTAGAATCAAGTCTTCACGCATCGAGATGACCATGCCATGCCTGTGCTCAAAACTCCTCAATGGTCTAACTTAGCCAAGTTCCTCCATTCGCCTTAGCGCAAACCGACAGGATCAGAATACAGGAGCAAGCTCAGTCGCTCATGATGTGGACAAGATCTGATCTGACAGCTTATCGTCCCTGGGAGGAGAGGGGGCACACGAAGCGGAGGGGACCCATGGCAAGCACGGTGGCACAGGCTCTCAGCCTCTGCACAGATCTGCTCTTGCTTTCAATAGCCCGATTCTCCTCCGATAAGTACAGGAGGCTCAACATCTCAGTTTCAGTCTCACTCTCTGGCCAGTTTTCTCTTCTCAGACCTAGTCCCTGAACACACTGCACTGACTTCCAAAATTAGGTTCTGCACCTAGTCACTGCCTCTTCTCACAGTGGTATCACACCTAGGCTGACTTCTAACCATCTCCAAATCACATCCATGTGCCCCATGGCTACTTCCTGAAACTCCTAAGGTGCTTCCTGTACTGTGTAACTATTATCATCAGCTCCCCTCTAGATTCCTTCTTAGACCTGCAGCATTCCAAGGTCCTGGCAAATGGCTTAATCATTTAGACGGGCTCTCCACAACTTAGCATCTTTAGCATTAGGTCACGCTGCATATCTTCACGAGTGCTCTTTTCACCAAATTACATTACTTACTGTCTTGAATACATCCAGACCTCTTCCACATTCATGCCATTTGCTAAGACTAAGACGTCACCCTCCCAATTTCTGTCGAATGTACGGTACCCCGTACATAATTATTGCTGATGGGCTTCTAGGCTTATTTTTCACTTGAGGAACCAAGGAAACGGTGCAACCCTCTCTAAGAAACTCTCCTTGATGCCTACCACAGAAATTGATTATTTCATTTCTCAGGACTTCACACAGTATTTTATGTACCTGCTATATATCAGAAGGTTGTTAAAAACTTGTTGTATGAAATGTCTACACAGAAACATCTCAAATGTATGCAATAATCAAAATGAACTACAGATCCTAAGGCTGAAAGAAACATTTGGCCTTCTAGGTACTGCTGAAACTTGGTGGGATGAAACCCATGGTTAGAACACGACTCTGAAGGAGCAGACTTTACGCAAAAGAAACTCAATTCTCCAGTGTTCAGGTGGTTTGGAGGTTCCCTTCAATGCCCCTGATCCCAAAGCGCCTGTGCATTCTATGTGCCTCTTCTCTCTCTCCTTCCATGAATGTACCATATATGCTGGGTGTCTTCTCGTGACATTTCAAGGACACGTGTGGAGCCCTCCCGCTGTCCACTAACAGTCAGTCAGTAGGCATTTATTAAGTCTTTACTATGTTCCATCCACTGTGTGAAGTGCTGAGGAAGAAAGGAAAAGTGAAAAATATCTCTTCCCTCTTACTCCTAGGATCAAACACAAACTCCTCCACTTGTACCAGATCCCTTCACAACAGGGCTCCCACCTTCTTCTCCAGCTTTACTGTACTCTAGTCCCCTTCATAGACTCGAGTCCAGTCCAATTGGCTTTTTTGCTGTCCCCACCCTCCATCTCCCCACGATAGCACTACATATTCTTGGTCTTTGTCTCTCTGTTGACTGTTCCCCATCAGGGAATGCTTTGCCTTCTCCCTGCCACATCTTGGAATTTCTGTTTTCCTCTAAGTCTCACATATGCCGTATTTTGCATGAGGCCTTTCCTGGGTCCCACGTGCTAACACCTTCCCTCACAAAGCCAACTTGCATATATTTTGTATGTATCTATTTATTGAATGTTGCCTCTCCTGATAGAATTGTAAACTCCAGGAGGGCAAGGACAACTTAAATTTTGTTTTTATATTTCTGGTGCCTAGGGCACATACTAGGCAGCTAGGTACCTCAGTGGATAGAGCGCTGGGCTTGTAGTCAGGAAGGACCCGAGTTCATATCTGACCTCACTCTTACTAGTTGTGTGACCCTGGGAAAGTCACTTAACCTCTCTTTGCTTTAATCCACTGGAGAAGGAAATGGCAAACCACTCCAGTATTTTTGCCAAGAAAACCCCATGGACAGAATGGTCTATGGGGTCATAAAGAGTCAGACATGGCTGAATGACTTAGCAATAACAACAACATTGTACAGAGTAGACATTGATTAAAAGCATGTTGATTAAGTTTAGCGGTAGCCTCTTCTTAACTGAAATAAGGCCACAGAAGTAGCCAGTGGTCCTGCATTGAACCAGACTGGGCACTGAGATCAACCTGTCAACTGTAATCCACCAGGCAAGAAGCCTTGGGTTAAGAGTAAATGTAGATGCTTACAGGGCTCAATAACAACATGTTACAATTAGAACTGGTAAAGTAAATGCATGATGTTACTACAGACAGCTCCTGAATGTGCTGTCTTCTATCCTGTCAAAGAGGTGTCCCTAATTTCAGGAATAAAAGATTCATGTTGTCTCAAACTAATCAAAGTGTGGGTCCCCTGGAGGGTAGAGGGATTGAATTAAGCAGTTTGGACTGAATGCCTTGGAATGCATCTTATTATTAACATCCTAACTGGCCAAGAGATTTCTTTTGAAAAGTGGTTCTACGTAGCTGTGTGGCGGCTGTCTTTGCCCGCTGGTGCCTCAGCTGACCAGCAACACTGACCTGTGCAGAGCTACTACTAGAGCAGGCCCAGACCACCACGGTGGGCTCTAAAGCAGGGTTTTTGGTCATGGACTCCTTGGGCAGTCTGATGATGCCTTGGGACCCCCTTTCTGAAATAAGGCTGTTTTTAAAAATTTATCACAGTGGAGGTTAATGAAGATAAAGATCTATTTTCCTCCCATCCAAATTCACAGAGCCCTTGAAATCTATCCATGAAGCCCTTAGAGGAGGGGCACTCAGTGAGAGCCCTGCTATCAAAGGAGAGACAAAGGAAATGGGAGCTATTCTCTCAGGAGCATTTAATGTTTTATTATTATGTTACGTTATTATTATGTTATTCTATCCCAGACAGTACTGGGACAACACCAACTCTTAGGAAAGCAGCATATTAAATACCTGCTACCTGACAGGAGGAGCACGTTATACTGGAAAGGACGCTAGTCTGAGTCCTGGCTCCATAACTTCTGTGTGCACTTGAGACGGTCATGGAACTCCTTCAAGCCTCCGTTTCCTCATCCACAAAATGCGGACGAGATTTGCCCTGCCTACCTTCTAAGGCCACTGGGACGACTATGGGAGATAACGTGTTTTAGACAAAGACATGATGTTATTGGGAGGCACCCTGGTAAAGAACACTGGATCAAAGCATCCCAGGACCTGGCTCTGAGTCACTTGTCCAAGGTCACAGAACTAATTAATGGGAAGACTGGAAAGGGAACCCAGGTTTTCTATTTATGATCTTAACTTAATATTCTGTCCTTGTTGGAGTAAGTTACCAAATGTTTTTGGACATGCCCCAGCCCAGAACCTCTAAATGTATGGAGCATAAGAACAACAGGCTCCAGAATAGGCAGTTTCATGATACAGAACACTTCTCTCGCCTGCTGATCTGAACTGGTGTGGGAAAGGTCTTACCACTTATCGGAGGCTTGTAATCAGATCCTGTTTCTGGCAGCCTGCTTCCTTTTCCTGAAGACCCTGAAGCTGAAGAAGAAACCAGTCAGTTATCACTTATCGAGTCTGAATGCATCACATTCCACAGACTGATGGCTGATGGGCTTCTAGGCTTACTTTTCACTTGAGGAACCAGGGAGCATAGAGCTGCACAGACGGCAAGTGTATATTTTCTTGTAAATGTAATGTAATGTAAAGGGCATTATGCAGGTTTTACACACATGGAAAGGTGCTTACATGGAGCTCTATTACCCTGGCATCTGGAAGGAACTTTCTGGTACAGTTTGAGAGAAACTTTACACGACTGTCAAACATTCCATAAAGATTATACAGGGAGTGAGACAGTCCCTATAAGGAAAGAAGCTATTTAGTATAAAAAAGAAGCAAGGTCGTCACTTGGTTTTGTGTCTTAGTGTCTGTGACCCTCTTTTCTTGGGAAGAGCAGTCTATGGGGCCTGTCAAAAAAAGGACAAGGTCCTTCCCCATACCACCCTAATTTCACATTAGTGGCATATGTCTTAAACTCGTCTAATACACTCTAAAATCAGATATAAACTCTAACAAGTAAAGCAAAGGAAATCATTAGAAATGAATTTGTGGACCAATCCTGATTTTTACACAGTGTTACACTATAAAAGCTGTTATTCAGCACTTTACCACCCAACATTCCTGATATTACTAAATTAATGTCTCAGAAACCAGTCAATAATAGTGTTACACTTTGGAGGAGGCTAGATAAAAATGCAAAGGTAAAGGCTTCTCTGATAACAGCTCTCCCATGCATAATAAACCTAGAAGGAAAAGTAACATTCTCCTCCAAACATCAAGTAGGCAGAAAGCAGCAGGCTTCAGAAGTAAGAAAGAACAGGTTTACAGAAAATCAAATAACTAGAAATGTAACAAGCTGGAACTCCTTCTGACAGGTAGGAGGTAACTAGGAAGTGTTTCTTAAAGAAATCCAGCCTTGAGATTGACAGAAAAAGCTAACTCTGACTCACTTAGTAGAATAAATCTGAGAGACTCAATGTTTTCTATTAGATTAAAGCCAGAGTTTTGTAGCTTGAATGTAGAGAAAGATGATTTTTTTATTCTAGAGAAATGGGGGAAAGTGTCCTAGTACTGGAAAACTTACTCCCTTTAGGTTTCACTCTCTCCCTCAATCCTCCAGACCATCCTTAGGTTTGTTGTTCTGTTACTACGACTAACAAAGATATCTACCTCCCAGGGAGAGATTTAAGAGTCTGAAATGTAAATGCATTTCTTCAAGACCCTAAGCTCTGAGTCTTTCTCACTTCTAACAGAAGCCTGAACATTCCTACTATTTCTTAATTTATTATCCTTTAAGCATCTTAGAGGGTAAACTGCCAAAATTCACTTTTTGTCCTCTCACAATAAATAACCACTAACTTTTAAAAAAAAAAACCTAATTAGTAAGAAAAGGATTAATTTAAATGCAGACAAGCACTTTTTAAGTACTTACACTGAAGAGGTCTTGCTAATTATTCCAAGATTACTGAAAGGTGGGACTAAACTATCTGTTTCCCTTCAAAGCATTCTTGACCTTGTTTTCAAAGTTATCAGGTGTTTTAAGTTAAGAATCTAAGAAACACAGATTGGAATTGAACACATCCTGATGGAGCAGTAGAAGATTAACTTCACAGGTTCAAAGTAAACTTTTTAAGTTCTGGGACATTATGGATTTATGGAATCACAGACATAGAGCTAAAAGGAATCTCAGAGGCAACTAATCCAATACCCTTCATTTTACAGATAAGTAAACTGAAGCCCAGAGAGGTTACATGATTCTTCTAAAGTTCTATAGGTGCTGAGTATCAAAAGGAGGGAGAAAGGAGGTTTGGTCTCACTCTCCTGTTTGCAAATTCTTACACCAAATGTACCACACTATAAACATTCAGAATGCTGGTGGTAGCATCTGCTTCCACCCCTGACTGTGGCATCCTGTAGAAAGGAGAGCCTCACCAAGTCTAAGTGCCCAACCTCTGGAGCAGTATGACTCCAATCTATTTTTTCATGAGCCCCCTCCATAGAGAGATCAGTGCTTATTCTCCACACTTGGTCCATACATAGGATTTCCAGCTTCCTTGGTACTTGAAGAGCCCCAACCCCAGCCCCAGCCCCAGCCCCAGACTCATCTCTCTCTGGATGAGCAAGTGTGCAGTTCCTTCACAAACATGCTGTATCTGGGAAAGGACAAGAAAGAAAGGACAGAGAGGCTCTTGGCTCGGTTACCTTGGTCATTAGGCATTTTGTCAGAAGAGTCCGCTGCCAGGCCAAGCACAGGAAAGAAAAACAAGAGCAAAGTCACCAGCGCGAAGGTGGGACAGACAGAGGACACACAACAAAGAAGCGAAGCCCCAAGTTCGTGCTGCTCACCCCTGGTTCTGCGCTCGACAGCGAATGCCAGAGTCTCCCCCACCTTCCCATCCCCCCAGAGACCCATCAACAAGGGCTTCTTGGCTTCCTGAGGTAAACAACGGCCACGCCTTTGCTAAAATGGAACCATCCATCCCACATGCCACCAGAAGAATCAAATTTGCTGTGTAAACCTTGTGGTTTCAGTTACGGCAAATGCCTCCTGGATCAGCAGAGTGCAGAAGGTGGGCCCTGAGATGAAACTGGGACCTAGGAACCTAAGGAAGCCTGCCTGGGTTACCTAGGGGTGATGAGTCACACAAGGCTGAGGACAAGGGGACTCACACACACACTCCTGAGAAAGAAATAAAAAATAAACACATACCGCCATCATCCTATTTTTTCCCCATCTTCTCCAAAGGTGTGACCCTTGACTTTTCTGATTAAGGAACAGGTCTTGCCATACCCACATGAATGTGTGAAAGACGGGCTGGGGCACTTTACCTTTAGGTGTTCGGAACTGGACCGCTTCGGACATTGGCCCCATGCCCTTGGAGTTGCGAGCTTGGATTTTGAAGTAGTACGGTGTATCAAGTGTCAACTCCTGGATCTGGTGAGTCAGTCTGTTTCCAACCACTGGTTCAATAACCCAGTCGTGAATCTCTGCATTCACATCTGTACTGTAGTAAATGATGTATCCTGTCCGAAGGATTTAGGGAGAGAAGAAATCTTCGGTGATTTTTCTCTATAGGTTAATAATTAGAGCTGGTATGTATATAGCACAGTAATAATGCATGCCAAGCACCTGACATACTCAATCTCATTTTATCCTCCTGACCATCCTGTGTGCTAAGTACTACAGATGTGGTCATCCTCATTTTACTGATGATGAAACAGGGTCAGAGAGGTTAGGAGGTGGGATCATAATCATAAGGGTCAGAGACAGGATCCTAACTCAGGTCTTTCCTGACTTCAAATTCCATACTCTTTCTATTGTCTCTCTACCGAGAGATGTAAATTTAAATATCTAAGAAAAAGAAAGGGAAAAGAAACGAACTTAATTAAAATCAAAGCAAATAATGACTAAAAGGGAATCTCATGAATCTACTCAAATATAATTTGGAAAGCTAACAATAAAATAAATAAAACAAGAAATGTGGTCACCAGCTCAAGGTATCTTTTTCCTTGTGAAAATATTCTTATAGGTAAGGATGATATATAATAATTTTAAATATATATCTACATATATAATGTCTCCCTTTAAGCAAAGAGCCACATGGCCACATTTCAGAAGTACTAAAAGAAAAATGTCTGGACTGAATCAACTAGATTAAATTTAATTTAAAAAAACCCTACCATTTGCTAGGTACTAGGAATACTAAGATGAAAAAATGACGTAGTTCCTGCCTTCAGTGAGTTTTAAGTCTAGTAGGGAGAAAAGACATTTTCACCAATAAATAAAATGCAAGCTAAAACACTCAGAGGCAGATGAGCAATGTAAAAGTGAAGGATCTCTTCTAATGCAGGGAAATCAGGGAAGACTGAGTCTGGTAGGAAGTCCAGATGGAGGGAGATAAAGTAGGATGGTCTGGACAAATGCATGTAGACAAGGAGGGCAAGAGGGGGTCGGGGAATGACTGTTTGTCCAGTTTGGCTGAAAAATAAAATTGCAAAGAGTGTAGTGAGAAATAAGGCTGGAAGCACAGGCTGGACACAGACTGCAGAAGGTCTTAAACAGGTTAAGAAACTTGCATTTTATTCAGGTAGAAAAGCAAACAGGTATGATTATTAGAATCATTTAATAAGTTAAAAATCATTGAGAATTTCCCTATTTCACATCTTTTGGAAGGTAAGGTAAAGGACAGGAAAAAACGAGGGCCCAGGGGTTTTTGCCATCATTTAATTTGCTCTTCCCTCCTTCTGATTTTCTAGGTAATTTCAAAGGCAATTCTGATTTCTTAGTCAATAAACTGAGGACAAGAGGTGGTGGAAGATGAGGCAAGGGAAGAGAGAGAAAGAAGAGCAACATTAGACCAGTTCTACTTTAAAATACCAAACTGAGGCTTTGTTGTTTAAAAAAGAAACAATGCAATTTTCCTTAAAACCAAAATTTATGAAAAACTCACACTAAAATCTGGCCATGGCCTAAGACACTAAAAAGAATTATGGCAAAATGCCAACTGAAGAGGGAGAAAATATCCACCAAATCTCGTCAGTAATCCAAGGTATCTTTCTTCCCCAGAGCTACGTGGTTAAAGATCCTTGTTTATTTACTAATTCCACCAGAGGGCATTCAGCACACGTGTTCCAGTTGCACACAGAAATCTGGTCTTTTCTGTACCTGTTCTATCAGGGATTTCCTTCTGCTTCACTGAGCTCAAGCATTACAATGAGCATTTAATGAGGCACAATGGAAACAAAAGACTGCCAAGCTGCAGACACTTCCACACCAGGAAATGTAAATAAAAAACCAACACAAAAAGTACCACTTAGTCCCATTCTGGCTATAAATGACACAAAGCCAGACAAACAATCACCAATGGGCTCAAGGTCCCCTCTCCAGAACAACTTTTAAAAAGGAATAAACGGGGCACGCTATATATTCCACAAACCAGAGTGGAGGAGTGAGATGTTTTCATGCATACCCTGCAGAGAATCCTTACTACCTGGTGTCCCCTGTCTCAGAAATCAGGATGCTAGCTTTTCATAGACCAAAAGTCTAGTTAAAGACATGCAGTTTTAATGATGACTGCAAATGCAGAGTAATTGGAGGCAGAAGATTTTGGAAAAATAATGAACTTAAAATCTGATCTGGCCTTCTGGGTCTAATCCTAAACCCCGGAACCCTAGTTTTTTAAAGGTGCTTCTCTGAAGAATGAGGGTTCCATTACTATTTTACATGAAGAACACTAGAGGGAATTCAGAAGTTGGTCCACATAGATCAATAGTGTGACATGGGACCAAGATTTGGGATGAAGCGAATATAGTCATACTTTATTAAGTTTCTCTAACCCTAGAGAGGGTTAATCTACCAATCTTCAGAAATTCTTAGGGCAAGCTATATTAATTTGGGAGTGAGAGCCAACTCAACTAACCCACTAAATCTAACTGGCTCCAGATCACCCCACCAGGCCTGACACCATGCTATGCAACCCCTCCAGTTGCCCATCTTGACATCTGCATCATAAGCTCCTATCCAACTATTGCTTAGGAATTAAATCAATACTACCATGTTGTTTGGAAAGGAAGTGTCAACTGTTTACCCAATCAATCAACTCATTATCCTAATGACTTCTCAGATACTCCATTCCCTGGCTACCACTCTCATATATCCATGGCCTCCCTCCATTAGAAGATCGACTCCAGCAATAATCACGGGTTTTTTTGTTTATATCCCAGAATTTAGCTTAGAACCTGGAACAACCTTAGGCTTGATAAATGCTTTTTCATTCATCATCATTCATTCACTCATTCAACCTCAAGGTCTCTGAATGCTAGGCAGACTGAGTTCCCTTACTGGATGGAGGAAGGAGGCATTTTTATATGGGTTTTGGCTTATGAAATAGGATTTGAGCATTTAGTCCAAGAGAGCCTGAGTGGCTCAAAGTCACAAAGGTATCAGAAGGAGAGGCAGGATCTGAGGAAAGGTCCTTCAAATCCAAGTCAAGAAACATTTAATAAATACTTGTTCTATGTCAGGCACTGTGCTAAGCACCAGGAATAAGAAGAAAAGCACCAAATAGTTCCATACAAGATGTATGCAGAATCAGCAGGAATCTAGGTGGGAAGGCACAAGTACTAAGGGAGATCAGGAAAGACTTCTTGAGAAAGGTGAGACTCTGGCTGAGACTGGAAGGAAGCTAGAGAGGCCAAGAGGGACAGAGAAGGAGGGAGAGGAGTCCAGGCATGAGGGACAGGCTGTAAAAACGTGTGGAGTCTGGAATGGAGTGTTTTGTGCAAAGAACAGCCCAGAGGCCAGAATCAATGGAATGTAGAGAATGTGGAAGGGACTAAGGTAAGAAGACTGGAATAGCAGGAAGGGGTCAGGCTATGAAGGACTTTAAAAGACAAACAGGATTTTATATTTGATCCTGGAGGCAACAGGGAGCCACTGGGGTGAAGTGGATGGGGTGAGATACGTGTGTGTGTGTTTGTGTGCGTGTATGTGTGTATATGTGTGTGTGTGTGAGAGAGAGAGAGAAGAGAGGAGAGAGAAGAAGAGGACATATATACATACACAGAGAAGGAGAAGAGGAGGAGGAGATAGAAAAGGAAGAAGAAAAAGAGGAGGAAGAAGAGAGAAGAAGGGTATATGTGTATATATGTATATATATATACACATATATACATATATATATAATAGAGAGAGACAGGGAGACAGAGACGAGGAAGAGCAAGACAAAGAGGAGACGGGGGAGGGGAGGGAGGGGGGGGGGAGAGAGAGAGAGAGAGAGAGAGAGAGAGAGAGGAGAGAGAGAGGAGAAAGCATGCCAGACCCGCAATTTGACAGCTGAGTGAGGAGAGGCTTGAGGCAAGGAAAGTGACTAGCAGAAAATTGCAAAAGTCTAGACAAAAGGGGGTCAGCACCCGCATTAGGGTGGCAGCAGCACAACAGAGAAGAGAAGGAGATATATACAAGAGATGTCACAAATGCAGAACTGATGGGACATGGCAAATGACTGGACCTGGGTGGTGAAAGAGAGTGAAGCATTGAGGATGTTGTCTGGGTGACTGGGAGGATGGTGGTGCCCTTGAGAGTATTAAGAAAGTTAGGAAAAGGGGAGAATTTTGGGGGAAAGATAATGAGTTCAGCTTTGGACATGTGGAGTTCAAGGTATCGGTAGGACAATCAGTTCAAGATGCCAAATAGACAGTTGGGACTGGAGGTCAACAGAGAGGTTAGGGGTGGTAAATAGGGCTGAGAATTGTTTGTATAAAGATGATAATGGAGCCCCTGGGAACTGATGAGATAAAGTGAAAGAGTGTTGAGGAGAAGAGAAGGTCAAGATTAGATAATGATACAGCAAAGGAGAAGGAGAAGGAGTGGTCAGACAGATAGGAACAAACCAAGAAAGGGCAGGAGTCACAAAAACCTAGGGAGAAGAGAGTATCCAGTGTCAAAGACTGGAGAGAGGTCAAGAAGGAGGAAAACAGAGACGTGGCCATTAGATTTGGCAATTAAGAGATCACTAGAAGATGACCAGGGAATGGCAGTGGATAGAGCACTGGGCCTGGAGTCAGACAGAACCAAATTCAAATCTGGCCTCAGAAGTCACTTAGCCTCTGTCTCAATGTAAAATGGGGACAATGGTACCTACCTCACAGGACTGTTGTAAGGGTCAGATGAGATAATGTTTGTAAAGTACTTAGCACAATGCCTGGCACACAGTAGGTGCTTAATAAAATGCTTATTCCTTCCTCTCCTCTCCCCTCTCTCCATCTCTGTAAGTAACTTTGGAGAGAGCAGTCTCAGTTAAATGATGAGGTAAGAAGTCAGAGAATTAAGATAGTGAGAAGGTAGGAAGGGAAGCCACCTATTATAGATGACCTTCTCAAGGAGATTAGCCACAAAAAGGAGGACAGATGTAGTATGATAACTAGTGGGAATGGATTCATCAAGGGAAGGTTTTTTGAGGATGGAGGAGATATGGGCATATCTATAGGCAATAGGGAAGCAGCCAGCAAACAGGTAGAGACTGAGAATGACTGAGAGTGGGAATGTAAGAGAGCAGTCTGCTGGAGAAGGGGCACATAGGGGGTTTGCCTTGGGGAGCACAAGGGCCACCAGTGCATGTGAAACAGAGGCAAAGAAGGAGAGAGTGGTGGAAACCATCTGAGTGATGTGAAGTGAGAAAAGGGGGAGAACAGGGAGTTTTACATGAGCAGAGAAGGGAAAGGGAGGGGGAGTTATGGGAGATTTGAGGAGGGATGACATGACTGGAAAATCTGCTGTGGTGAGTACTGAGGTGTAAGAAGACTGCCTTGCTGCAGAGAGGGCTCAGGTGAAATTAGGTAGCAAAAACAGGTAGTCGTCATGGCTGTGATTCTTTCCAGCTTCAATCAGTAGCACGTGAATAGGAGGAGGTGAGAGGAATCCAAAGCTGAGGCTTGGCAAGGAGGCAAGGGACTCGAGAAGAGAGGAAAGTGCAGAGCTAAGCTGGCTTACTAAGGGGTCAAGGCGAGGAAAGGATGAGCGCAGAGCCAGTGTATGGGTGATACTCTCGGAAAAAACTGAGGGATTCTAAGTCACGGTGTGGATGAGGAAGAATACTAGGGATTGCGAGGAGGGAGAAATGGAATGACAGGGTAGGATCGGATAAGAGAATTTCAGAGTGGATGAACATGGAAGCGGAGCAGTTGAGGATCCGTGAGGGCCAGATTAAGGACACGGCCATCTCGAGCAGGCAGAGTTCAGAAAAACCTGGAAAGACTTGAATGAACCGATGCTGAGGGAAGTGAGCAGAACCAGGAGAACGTTGTGCACAGTAAAAGCAACAATGCGCAATGACTGACTTTGACAGATTCATCTCTCGACAATGCAAGGATCCAAGACAACTCCAAAGGATTCGTGATGGAAAATGCTGTCCGCACCCAGAAAAAGAACCACGGAGTCTGAATGCAGATCGAAGTACATTACTTGATCTCTCTTTTTTTCTTCTTTCTCATGGTTTCTCCCATTGGTTCTAATTCTTCTTTACAACACGACTAATGTTAAAATAGGTTCAATATGAATGTATATGTAGAGTCTGTATCAGATTGCACGCCATCTTGGGGTGGGGGGCGGAGAGAGATGGGGAGAAAATTTGGAACTCAAAATCTTACAGAAGTGAACATTGAAAACTAAAAATAAATAAATTAAAAAAAATATGGCCATCTCTGTGAAGAAGGAGTAGATCATGGAAATGAGGGAGAGCCTGGAAGTAGAAATGGGGAGCAAGGAGCATTACAATTCTATCCATAAGACCAATGAGTTGGGGGGTATAAGTGAAATGCAACTAGTGCTGGAAAGGTTGGCCAGGGAAGGCGTGTCATTGGGAGGGAACCAGGATTCAATGAGTGTAAGAAGATGGAAAATGTAAGAAAGGAAAAAGGTTTAAGATGACAGCAAATTTGTTGCCTGTAAAGCAGGCATTCCAGAGCGCACACAGGAAGGTTAGGTAACTTCAGAGTGGGACTTTTTGCTGGGTTGAGGAGTATGGGAATAATGGAGTAGTTGATGAGAAGCAGAGAAAGAGGTCTGAGAAATGACAGCTGGGGGTTCAGAACTGCTGGAATGAGAAGGATATGACAAGGTGGAAGCATATCATCATTGAGAATGAGTTCCACGAGGCTGTCATTGTCCTGAGGGATTTAATTTCAGGGTGGAGTCTCCCAGGGCAATGCCATGCAGTGTGTGTAGCTGCACAGGGGTGGCTGTGGGGGGAGGCTGGAGAGTGCCAGAAAGGCAAGCCGGCCCAGGCAAGATGAGACCGTCCTCTCCTTCCCATGCAGCCTGCTTTCCATTCCACCATGCTACCTCCCCCAAAGTCTTCTATAATCAAATTCTTGAACCTGCTTTGTTCTCTCCCACTCCGCCCCTCCAAATCCCTTACTCCTTTTCAATGCCTTTTTCAGAATATCCTATAGTATTTTTGATAGAACAATTCCAGAATGTTTTATCACCCTCAAGTGTCAGGCATTTAATAACTAAAGGTAAGATGAGAGAATACAGGAAGTTATAGGAAATCCTGCAAACACTAAGTACTCCAACCATTTTTTCTTTGCTTTCATGAAGAAAACAATTTAGCCCAACAGCTGTACAGAAATGGAATCACTTTGTTGTATGTTGCTATATTCTCACATGATAAGCCTTAGGACATTCCAGGTCACTTGAAGTGTGAGACCACAGAACAGCTCTACCAAACTAAGTGTAACAGTTGGAATCTTTTTGAAGAGTTCAGTATTTTCTTTCACATTTTCATCAATCCATCTCTCACTACAGCCTATGTTTCACATGGAATGTAGAGGCAATTTTAAACACAGCAAAAAGAAGGCAGAACCAGGAGAACGTTGTACACAGCAACAGCAAGATTGTAAAGATGACCAACTGGTGAAGATTTCGCTACTCTGATCAATACAATGCTCCAAGACAACTCCAAAAGACCCATGATGGAAAATGCTATCCATCTCCAGAAAGAAAAAACTGATGAACTCTGAATGAAGATTGAAGCACACTTTTTAAACTTTATTTTTCTTGCTTTTTTTTTATCTGTGTTTTCTTTTGCAATATGGCTAATGTCAAATTATGTTTTGCATGACTTCACATGAACTGCTTGCCTTTTCAAAAGGGGGGAAGAGGGAGAGGAGGAAAAGAATTTGGAATTCAGAATTTTAAAAAATGAATGTTAAAATTTTTTAAATATGTAATTGGGAAATATTTAATGAAATGTATATTAAATAAAATATATTTAATATATTATATAATTATACACACACATGTGTATATATGTATATGTATACAGAGAGGCAGCCAGAGAAAATTCCTAACTCACTGCCATGATCCTTTTTATATGCTTACCAAGTGGCAATACATTTATTATGCCTTTGCTAGAATCCCAGGGATGAACGGGATGGTCCCCTCGTCAGTACTGAACTCAAGATCCCTGACGCTGAGCCCCTCACGCCCACCTCCAAGCTCAGAAAAGCACCATACCTGTAACTTTGCCATTAGCTTCTGAAGGAGGTTGCCAGTTCACTATTATGGTCCTAGGTTTTCCCTCTTTACTCACTACTGTCACGTCTTTGGGTGGAGACGTAGGAACTAGAAAGAAAAACACATTCACTTAATTCACATAAACATCTTTTGGTGATTTTCTCTAAAAATGTTAGTATGTTGAGCCAGGCAGCATATCAGAAAGATCAGTGACCTGGAATCCGATTGAGTCCTGGTTCTACCACATACTTGCTGTGTGACCCTGGTCAAGTCACTCAATCCTGCTTGTCTCAATTTCCTCATCTGTAAAATGAGCTGGAGAAGGAAATGACAAACCATTCCAGTATCTTTGCCAAGAAAACCCCAAATGAGGACACAAAGTATCAGATACGACTGAAAAACATGTGATTATGGGGAAATCTCAACATCTTTTGAACCTCAGGTTTTTCAGCTATAAAATGGAAACAAGAAGACAACCTGCACTACCCACTCCACAGGGCTGTTGTGAGGAAAGCATTTTAATCATAAAGGGGATCTATAGATCACGAGAGGAGTACTGGATTTAGAGTTCTGGGATATGGGTTCAAATTTCAGCTGTCATTTACTATCTATGTGTCTGTCCTTGGGCAAAGTGAGTTTCTTTTCTGGGCTCCAGTTTCATCCACTATTCAAAAAAAAAAAGGAGGTTGGATTAGATTATCTTCATGGTCGCTTCCACCTCTAAATCTCATGATTATGAAGACTTTAGACATGCAATGTAAGACAGCTCTACTCTTCTAAAATAACTGTCAGATAGGCCCAGATATCTGATCTTCACACAGTGCTTCAAGGTTTACAAAATAATTTATAAACATGATCTTGTTCACTCCTCTGAAGAACTCAATTAGGTCAGTACTGCCAATATTACCTCTATTTTATAGGTGAGGCAACTGAGGCTCAGAGAGGCTGAGATTCGCCTAAAGTCACATAGTCCCAGGCTCTCGTTGTTACACAATGCCTCTTCTCAAGGAGACAGACACATAGAGCTAGCTATCAAATTCCTTAATTCAAAAGCCCTCTCCTTTCAATTCTAACTACTTTGTCAGGACGTTCTATATGTCAAAAAGTTCTCTTTAACTCAATACAAGTACCACACCAAGAGTGAAGACTGTCACTAGTCCCTTAATGAATACATTCTTTTGAAATGGAAGTTTTTTTTCTCTTCTTTTCCCTTTTAGTAAAACACACTGTTACTGTTTTTAAAAGAAAAACTCTGTGGAATAGAGAAACCATAAAAATTAAATGACTGTGCAGCATGTGTGTGCACAAAGGGAAGAGCAATTAGAAAGTTAATGAATTATGCTTTACCCTCCCCTTTCCAAACACAAATTATTCTTTTGTAAAAGCATTTACTTTGTGTGAAATAGGACTATGAAATTTAAATACACTTCTAACAACACAAACATTTCCATTTGCCATTGGATTGTAATCAAAGTAACAGGCTTTCTTAAGCCTTAGGAAAAGAAACGTAAACTTCAACAATTTATGAATTCATTTCATCCTACTTCCCTCCTCTCATGAAAAGGCCTCAATGAATTTTACGGAAAGCAACAAATGCGATATTTTATGGTTGTTTTTAAAAAACAAACCTGTCAATCATATCCCAGTAGGGAGAGAAGGAAACAATGATCTCATATAGACTGAATCACCTGGTTAAAGCACATGCCCGAGAATATAACATGGAAGGACTTGAAGGGTGGCCAACTAACAAATGACCACAGGAACAATGGAATAATGGAACTACAGACTAAAGCCCTGTTCCTCAATATCTTTACAGAGTTATTTGTCTCAAGCCCATTAAAAAACACCCTAAGGACACCTTTAAGTGAAACCTTATAAGAAGCCACTTGATTCCTTAACCAGCAGCAGGGCAGAGGTAAATAGCCAAGTCACACCACCCTGGGGTGTGCCCTCCCATCCACATGTCAAAAAAGATCTGACAGAAAGAGAAAGGTACTAAGTCAGTGAGTTTATTTCTATTGCACGTATAGCACCAGCTCCTTTTTGGACAAGAGTAAATTATTTAACCTTTTTGTCTCAGGTAATTTTTGCTCTTATAAAGAGGCACTGATAAAATTAACTGGCTGATTATTCAAATTACTTATGATGAATAAAACAGTGCTGGAAAGCTGGTGTGGCTCTCGCCCTTCATCCCATGTGATGAAGAGGGGGAGGAGGGGGCAGAAAACATGAGCCATGAAACGCTGCAGACCCTTACCGAGCTCGAAGGTGGTCCCGTGAGCTGTCATACTCCATGTGCTTGACCTCCGGCCTTTAGTCACCATCACAGAGAACTCATAGAGGGTGTTTGGTTTTAGCCCCGTCACTAAATAACTCAAAGTTGTTGCATTTGCAGTCTGAAAAAAAGGGTCACACAGAATTCTAGGAGCAGAAAACAGTAGCATTCACCACACGAATATGAGCTGAATAAAAACATCTGTCTTTCCATTGATAATGTAAGTGAACTTCGGTCTGATTAGTTTTTTCTCTGATTGCAATTGGAGCTTTTCATCTTGACTAATGAAAGATGAACCTATGTGAGAGTCTTGGGCAAGTCCCACTGCCCCTTCAGAACAGCTGTTTTATCTCTGATGTTGGGAAGTTTGAGGGGTGGGCTAGATGACAGCTGAGTTCCTTTCTAGCTCTAAATCTTATGATCCTAAACGGAACTTAGTCACTGGGAATTTATGCTTCCTAGGGGGAATAATATTTTTGCATTTAGTAGAAACTATTACTCTTAGTATTAACATTGTTAATTAAATAATTAAACATTAAACCAACAAAGTAATATTAATAAAATTAATAATAAATATATCTTAATTAATATTAATAAAACTAATAGTCCATTAGATTGCGAGGTCCTTAAAGGAAAGGATTGTCCTTTGCCTCTTTTTGTATCCCCTGCGTGAACATTTTTATAGCACTGATTCTGTGCCAGGCACTGTGCCAAGCACTTCAAACATGATCTCTGATCCTCACCACACTCCTGGGGGGTAGGTGCTATTATTGCCCCCATTTTACAGCTGAGAAAACTGAGGTTGTGATTTGCTCAGGGTCATATGGCTAGGAAGCATCTGAAGCTGGTTTTGACCTCAGGTCTTCCTGACTGCAGCCCTGGCACTCTAACTACCATACCACCTACCTGCCCCTAATTGAATTCCCCTTACTGACTGGCTTAAGATATAGATAGGGAAATTCTGTGTCTTGTGATTAACCTCTGGCAATTTTTTTCTTACGACTGAAAGGGAAAGAGACAGAATTTAATTAGGAGAAATGAATAAATGAGTAATTATCAAATATTTACTCAGCCTCTTTTACATAGCTAAGTATGATGCCAATGCTATGACAGACAAAAAGAGAAATAAGATATGGTCCCTTTCAATTTAATTGGGGAACAGGGCGAATAAATAAACAAATAACTGCAATATAAGGCAGCATACAGGAAATGCCAGCATACAGGAAAAATAGAGAACCTTTCTACATGGAATGATTATTGAAAGTTTTATAGGGAGGTGGGATTTGATGAGGTTGGAGCGGGGGGTGAGAAGGGTCTTTCAAATGATGTTAAGATATCAGTGGGGACAAGGAGGCAGGCAGGATGGTAAAGAAAACAGCACGATTTTGTAGTGGAGAGATAAAGCTAGAAACATAGGCCAGGGCTAGATTAGAGAGGGCCTCCAATGCCAGGCTAAGCATAAGCCTTGACATCGGCCTTGAAGAGCTGCTGAGGATTTTTTGGCAGGGGAAAGACAGCATCCTAACTGTGCTTTAGCCGTGATTAATGGGGCAGTGTTGTTAGAGGTGTCAAACACGTGATCTGCAGGCCACATGTAGCCTACAACACTCCCAGAGTGTCCTGAACCAGATTTTTTACTCTGTAATTAGGAAATACTTAACAAAATAAGTAAAAATAGAGTAAAATATATATTATTACATTTTAAAAGTGTCAATGTGTGGCCTGCAGGGATCCTTGGATGTGGTGCAGTAGCCCCCATTTCTATTTATCTGTAGTCTGACACTACTGCTGTGCAGGACATATCAGAGCCGGGATGAGACGGAGGGCAAGTTATTCTGACAGTCACAGCAAGTGTTAAGTCGTGTATGTATTGACTGAAGGCAGGGGCAATGGAACCCAAATTAAGGAAAGACTGTTAAGAGAAAAAAGCTGGGGAGGCCCTAACACTAAGATTTAGCATTAAGGCAGCTCGGTGGCACAGTGGATAGAGCACTGGGCCTGGGGTCCAGAAGATCTTAGTTCAAATTTAACTTCAGATACTTGCCAGTTATAAGACCCTGGCTAAGAGGATCCCTTCTAACTATCAAAATTCTGTGATTCTGTGACAATGTGGACCCAAGCTCTTTCCAGACTGATTCCATATCACACTGCCGCGCCTACTCGATGCCATCTCTGGTATGGGACGCTCCATCTCCAGCCGCCATTCACCGCATGGCCTGCTCTCTCTTCTTAACCCCTCTTCATTTTAAGTCTCAGCTCAAGCACTAGCCCCTTCAAGGGGCCTTTCCAGCTTCTTCCATTTGTAAGTGCTCCCCACCCCCATCACTGGTAACTTATTTTATATCTAATTCCCTATTTACTTATCTGTAAAAATGTCCCCAGTAGAAGGTAAACCCTTTGAGGGTTGGGAATGTCTCCCTTTTGTATTTACATCTTCAGTGTCTAAAACTTCCTGGAGATAAAAATCATTAACTGTAATCAGCAGCTACAGGGACTATATCTTATTCACCTTTACAGCCCCAATGATCTCGTAGTACACAGCGGCATCAAATAAATCTTTGTTAAGTTACTGTTTAAGTTTTTTTTGCTGTGACCCCAAAATATTAATGTCACTAGCTCATATTTGCATAATTAACTAGGTTATAAGCACTTTAAAAATATCCATGACCTCATTTGATGTAACACCCATGAGTTAGGTTAGCACAAGCATTCTTGTCTCAAGGATGTGGGGAGGTCACATAGGCTGTATGTGGCAGCCTGGGCTGGAGCCACTGGCTTCTGAGAACAGTGTGCTTTCCACTAGACCTTGCCTCATCTTCTGTAGAACCCTGTTGCCAGATGCTGCACTTTCCCTTGGCTGGAAAGCTCCTAAGAGATTCCTATCATTGATGTCACCCTCCCTAACTTCTTCCACTTTTATCAGTGTATCTAACACAGCTGGCATCCCTTCTCCAAGAAAGACCGACTCCAACCTTCGATACTACCCTATGTCCTAGTCCTTTCTACTTTAACCCATGGATTCTCTCCTCAGCAAGAGTCTTCCTGGTGCTTGGTCCCGTGAACAGTGACAGACACCTGGAAAGACAACTGGAACGTAACGTCCCAGAGCTACCGTGCACTCAGCTCTATACGAGGGATAGGTTGCTGAGCATTCTCAGAACACCGCAATGCCAAGTTGGCCTAGAGTTTGGTATTCCAACACAAACCTTTGTAGGATGTGAATATAAGGTAGGATTTGGGAGGCATCAAAAAGGTCGATCCTAATTAAAGCCACTGCTGGAGTAAGTTGTTAAAAGGAAAGTCAAGGATCAATGAGAAGGGTGTCACTTAAAACACATTTGCTCTAGAAGTTATCATCTTTAAAGATCAGGTTATAGCTTTTAAAAAAAATTCAAAATACATTTTATTGATATCTTTTTTCCCCCCACATCTTCCTCTTTTTTGGTTTTAAAAAAGAAATCCCAAACATTAACAAAAGCAAATAAACAAAACCCCCTTCCACCCTATAACAAAGAGAAACAATTAAGTAAAAACATCTGTTATTGCGACAACATCTGAACACTGCCCTGGTGGTCCTCCACCTCCCCAGGAAGGGCCCTCGTACACATAATGGTCCAACAAAGTCCTGAAGTCAGACGACTCACTGAGGCTCACACAGAAGAGCTGCTACAAGGTTTGAGCTCTGGTCCTTCAATTCCAAATCCAGTGTTTTCTCTACTGTACCATGTGATGCCCTGTTTAAATATAACTAATTTAATAAACCGTTTTGTTTTTGATCATTATGGTCAATAAAATTCGTGGTTAAAATCTAGCTTTCAGGACCACATGATGAAAGCCTCCTGCCACTGGGTGGTAGTAAAACCATTTGTAGAAAAAATGTCTAAGGATACCACCATTCTTTTAAATATTTTAAATAAAAAACCTAAACATACAAAGCGCCAATAAACATCATACCTTTATTATAATAACTCAAGAAAATGCAAAGTGGAAAATTCCACAAATATAATAGTTTATATTGTTATCCAACTGCTCCAATCAAAAAATGTCACTATCAATGAATAATAATAAAGATAATGATGATGATGATAATAGTAAGGATAATAGCTAGCATTATGTAGTACCTCCTATGTACCTGGCACTGTGCTAAATGCTTTACAAATATTATCTCTTTTGATTCTCACAACAACTCTGAGAGGTAGGTGCTATTATTATTCTCAGTTTACAGTTTAGGAAACTGAGGCAAACTGAAGTTGAGTGACTTGCCCAAGGTCACACAGCTAATAAATGTCTGGGGCCAGATTTGAACTTTGATCTTTCTGACTCCAGGCCCAGAGCTTTAAGCCCTGCACCATCAAGCTGCCTATAACTAGTGACATTTTTCTTCTATCTGAAAAAATAAGAATAAATGCTGCTTTATATACTTTTTAGTTGACTTCTTGCATCACTGACAAACATTCTTATGTATCTGCTGTCTCAAAAAACAGGCCCTTATCTTACCAACCACGTTTCAGGGCATCTACCATAATCTCCACTTCTGCCATCTATACCTGGTAGCTCATTAATAGCCACTTAGAAGGGTAGTTCCGATCCATTCATTGGCATGAGAAAAAGCTACATTCTTTTTGCCCCTAAATTTAGTTTCTATAAAACCTGAGAACAGCTTAAACTTTTATTTTTAGATGAAACATGAGTTAAGCTGAGACTTTTCCAGTAAATCTCTATCTTTCTACCTGTCTCCCCCAATGTGTTCCATGTATGTATGTACATATATACGTATAAGATAGTGATTTTAGGCCATTACTTTTCAATGTACACTTTTTTTAAACCTTTCAAAAAAATTTCATTTCGAGAACGTGGCCTATATAGTTGGAACAATGCAATCCAACTATTTTTTTTTCATAAAGTCTGTTTTAATTTCATGCCACCATTCTTGCTGAATGAGAAGCAACACGGGAGAGTGGAAAAACATCTGACTGGGAGTAAGGAGAGGCTTGGCACCAGCTGTTATTAAATAGCAATCTGACGTTGGCCAAGTAACTTAACCTCTCTGGCCCTCAGTTTCTTTCTCTATGACTTAGAGGGAGGGGACTGGCCTAGATAATCACATACTCAAGTTAGATGATCTGAATGACTCACTCTCTAAGAAAACATTTGGAAAAACATTACTCTTTCATAAGTAGATAAAGCAATTAGAGTGCTATTGATATTTCCTCTCTTCTCTCTACTAAATTCACTCCCACTCTTCTGACCCGTTCCTTCTCATGACAGATGATCAGGTGTTAATAAAACATCCACCACATATGTTTTCTGATGACTGATGTCCCACAGAAGATTCCACTCACTGTGTTAAATTTTCCTCCCCTCTTCTATAGCAGCTACCATAGTAATTCTGCTGAACTCTCAAGCGTAACACTTTCAGGGGAAACTGCAAGAAGGGAGTTGCAGCCTGGGGGTCTCCCAAACTCCAATCACAGAATTCCTCTATTTCCCTCATCTTTGCACTGTTAGATGCAGCGTAGCTGTTAATACCTTGTACTTGGTGTTAGCAGGGATATTGGTTTTCCATCGGACTGTGTAGTACCGCGAGTCTGTGATCTTCTGGTGTTTTGGCAGTGAGTTGTCCGCCCATGTAATCCGTATGGTGTCATGGCTCAGTATGGAAGCCTGAACTCCCACCGGTGGCATCATAGGGGTGGGATCTGGCACTGGAGTGTATGGAGCATTAACAACAAATAAATCAACCTCAGAAGTATCTAGGAGATTGATGGGCAAAAAAGCAGTGCATTTTAATTTAAAAAAAAAGTGGCATTTAAAAGTAAACAAAAACAAAACAAAATAAAAAGGAAATGTAGGGTAATATAATGGAATGAAATGGAGAAAGAGAAAGAAAGAATCCAGGATTAATCAATAATATACAATTAATTTTTAACCACCCCCCCAAACTGTTCTTCAAGGCACAAAAACATGCAGAGAAATAAGCTCGGTGCTCAACAACACATCGTACACAAGTATATTAAAATGTTCTAATGAACCAAGATGTTTGTTAAAATGCCCTGTTCAGCTTTTCTTCTAATAAAGAAATGACTATTCCAGTGAGTGCTGTTGACCTTTCAGGATTTCAGAGTGTCATGATGTACCTGCTCCAGCCTATAACAGCCACTGAGCACATGTGAATCACTCTTGTACTAGACAAATAAAACCATCACCTCCCCTGAGATCTGGATGGAGCAAGTCCAGGGTAGAGGGGAAGAGCAGTTCCCCTAAGACCACCAATTCTGCTTCCAGCCCAGGTGCTACAGCATCCTTCAGGGGAGAAATCAATGTGGAAAAGGAGCCCCCCCCCCACCTTCTTTGATGTCACTAACCTAACTGCCACCAATGAGCCCTTGGGAGTGGCAGCATCTCCCAGACCACGGGTCTGGCTTCAAGCCCAGCCTGTGCAGCCATCACCTTGAGAAACAAGCCCTCTGCAAATTCAGCCTGGGAGCTGTTTCTAAGGGTGCTGCAGTCACAGCTGATAGAGACCCAGAAGAGAAAGGTCTAGCCACCAAAGTCCTTGGCATTGTCAAGTGATCCAACACAAGCAACTCATTTGATTTTATCAGTGGAAATGACGTTAAAGAAGAGGCATTACCATATTCCTGGTTGCTGTACCCTAAGGACCATGGGATGAAATGGAGAAATTCTAACTCATGGAGCTAAAACTTTCTATATATGTTGTCTCTTCTATTAGAATGTGAGCTCCTTTTCTATTTGTATCCCCAAGGATTAGAACAGTGCTTTGAACACAGTAAATGCGTGACAAATGTCTTTTTATTCATTCATTCAGTCAGTCAGTCAGTCTGGGCCTCCAAGCCATCATCATAAGTTCAAATCAGCTCTGACATGGCATCAGGCCTAGAACTCAGACTGATCTGCTGACTCTATGTAAGACTGTGGGATGTGTCAAATGTTCTGGTGGTGCTGCCTCAAAAATGGCACAATTCTGAAGAAATTATATCTATTCAAGGAATTCCCTATTATACTCCTTGAAATGGCTGATCTTAATCTTCTCCTTTTTTCTCAAGTTCCCCATGGCTCCCTCATGCCATAGTCATTTCAGCAGATGACCTTGCCTTCTACTTTACTAAGAAAAATGAGACCATCTGCTATGAGCAACCTTACTCCATATCTCAAAATGTGGATATTTTAAAATACCTTCAATATCTTTAAAATGAATGTTTTTTAACCTCATCCTCATTTCTCTACATAGGGAGACTATAAAGCCACTTGCTGTGGAAAACACAGCACTCAAGTCTGAGGAAAGGGCTGGTACGCCAGGTGGGTGAACAGCAGTGGCTTTGCTTCTGCTTTTATTCTAAGTCACTGATTCACATAACAAGCCAGAAAGGACAATGGGAATTTTCAACTCTAAGTTAGAAGACTCTTGGGACTTCTCTCTTGGCACCAAAAACCAAAGCTAAAAGAAAAGCCCTCCTCTTAGCAAGGAGGTACTCTTTCTAGCTTTTGTAAGCTGGGTGTGATAGGGGCTCATTGCCTCTGGCTATAATCCAGGAACAGTCAGCCTGCCTTCTTAATGGAGGCTTTCTGATTGATAGCCTGGAGGTGGCACTAAAGAGAGGAAGCCTGGAAGCTGGAAGCAGGGATAACTGCTCAATGGAGACCAATAGCATGCCAAGGCCATTGGAAATCAGAGAAGCCTCAGAGATAGAGAAAAGCAGGGAGAAACAGAGAGGAAATAACCAACAAGGAGCAGCTGAGAGGCCAGACAGTGCCCAGATACAGGCCTGGTGAGGGCATGGGCTGGAGAGACTAGCATGATGACCTCATCAGAAGACATCAGGGGCAGGAGATTTCCATCCATATATGGGTCTCCATGTGGGTCCACTCTTCTCACTCCTAGCATGTGTATTTGTGGGAGAGTATGCCTGAGGTTTGTAGGGGAAATGTTCCACTGCTACTTTTCCTTCCATTTTATTTCACAAATGCCTTTGCTTTGAACTAGTTGTGTTCTCTAGATCACTAACAAAAATAAACACATTGGTAGGGGCCTATGAGCTACAAATCATACTTGGGAATAAATCTCAGAGCAAAACGAACATGGGATAACTTTTTGAGGGCCACACTTGCAAGACAGGGATGCCCCAAATACTATACTTACATACTCACCCCCTCCCCCACCTACCAAATTATCCTTTGTTAACAAAGAAAAACAATGTAATCAAACTGCCTGACACAGTGCCTGTATGTGTCCCCTTCTGCCACCTACAGAACGTATCATCATCTGGTTTCTGGATTCAATATTGGTCATCGCTCTGAACTCATCATTCTGAGTTCAGTTGCCTTTTTGTGTTTTTATCTACATTATTGCAATGATGATGTGTGTGTTTCTCTTGGTTCTTCTTACTTTGCTCTGAATCTGGTCATACAAATCTTCTCATGTTTCCCTAAATTCTAAACCATGGTTTTTAATGAATGGTTTGGCATTACTGAATTACATTTATTTTACCACAGAGCTCACCTGTTCCTAACTGTTGGGCATCCAAGTTTTTACTTGAACAAAAGTGCTCCTGTGAACATTTTGTTATCTTTGGGAACACTTCTCTCTGTCTTTGGCTTTCCTGGGATGTAAGCCTAGCAGGGAGATATTGGGGTCACAGATTATGAACAGTTTGGTGGCTTTCCTCAACCTATTATCCATTCCACAACAAGAGGTGGGTGTGTGTGTGTGTGTGTGTGTGTGTGTGTGTGTGTGTGTGTGTGTGTATATGTCTATCTCAATCTCTAGAATGTAAGCTACTCAAGGGCAGGGAACTGTGTTGTCTCCATCTTCTTATCACCAACGTCTAGCATAGTGTTTTGTCCAATGAAGGTTCTTAATAAATGCCTGTTGAATTGAATGAAATTCTCTGGGACAGGTAAGATAACAACATATTCTCAGCCCCAAAGCATTTAGTAAGTACCTCCTACGTGCCAGGCATTGTGCTGGGAACAGAAGGAAAAACAAAAACAAAATCCTTGCTGCCAAGGAGCTCCCAGGTTAATGGAGGAGACAGTATGTAAACCACTAGGTACAGACAAGTTCTAGATAGAGTTGGGGGTGGTCTCAGAGGGAAGGCACTACATTAGCACTAAGGGGGATCAGGAAAGGCTTCTGGCAAAAAGGTGGAACTTTCGATGAGATCTGAAGGAAGCCAGGGAGGCCAGGAGGTAGAGACGGGATAGGGGACAGCCAGAGAAATGCCTGGAGTTAGGAGGCAGAGAGTTGGGTTCAAGGAAGAGCCAGGAGGTCAATGTTCCTGGAGTAGCTATAGCAATACTCATAATGGAGAATAATAATACAGAATAATCACACATTTGGAGGCCATCATTTATTGGAAACAATACCATGTTATGTAGTCAAACAGTATTATATGAGTATATACTCTGTAATTTATGAAATTTGAATGCAACATGACAAAAAGGAAACTGTGTACTAAGTCACGTTATGACAATGGACTATTTGGTAAATCCAGTATTTTTCAGGTCATTATTGCATCCATGTCAAAGGTCATATTGAGCATGGATATCTTGGCCTGTGTTGGCACCAGTACTTGCTATATGGGATTAGAACTTCAGGGGTTGAAATAGTTCTTCATAAAGCTCTTTGTGTTCCCAGAGACCAAACTTTTTGTATGCCAAAGTCTGAATGACAAAGGTCTACTGAGTCACTTACTTCCAGCTTTAAGTAACAGTTCAACACCTCACTTCAGGTACTTTTCACATAATGAGGATAAGAAGCATGGCAGAAGAATGCTTGAATTAAAAGTGATGCTTTTTACAGATGAGGAAACTGAGGCTCATAGCAGTTAAGTGACTTGCCCAGAGTCACAAAGCTATTAAGTGTCAGAGGCAGGAACTAAACCCAGGTCTTCTTGATTCCAAGGTCAAGCAGTTCTCTACCCATTATGCCAAGTTATCTATAGGAATGGATGTATCTTTTTTATTTCTGACTAAAAAATAGTAATCGTTAAGGTACATTATAGGGAAGAAACTTAAGTACCTACAAAAAGTACTAATGAAAATTGGTCTATCATAAAGACAAATGTGGTCAAATGAGTAATAACCACGAATTGACACTGGCTTGATTGTCTGAATTATATAAAGCATAAAAAAAGGAAGAGACATTATGAACAACCTTAGAAAAATACAATATATTTTCCACCAAGATGAAGAAATATGATCACAAAAATTCGGTTCTCCTGATTATGCATATTAAGGGGAACTAAATATACTATCTACCTATATTATAGATCAAAAATCACTTGAATGAATCCTAAAAGCCTGTTCATTTTCATTGACATAATGTATAAAGGATTTTTTCTAGACAACCAAAGAAAACAAATCCCTGAAAAGGAAATGTCCTAAAGATATATTTTCAAGATTATTTTCCCTCAATTCTTTAAGGACCCATGATTTCATCAGTGGGGGGGTATGCACCCTATCGATACAGACTACACTCCTCTTCACATTTTAGCAGGTGCCCAAGCTTTGGGATGACCTGTTGCTTTGAACCTAGCTGGGCTGGGCTCCTTGGATGACAGACATCTAGTTTGGCTCTGGGTCTCTACTGGAAGCCTGTCTTGCTCGGTAGGACCTATTAACATGATGACACAAGAGGGACACCCATCACCTACAAAGAATTTCTGTTCAATTCGCATCCATTCAGAAGCCCTCACTATGTGTAAGGTGTCCCAGATGTCAGGAATCTTTAGAGACAGAAATGACAGTTGCTGCCCTCATCCTGGGACTTATATAGCTCATACACAGAGAAATAAATCAAAGGTCATTTGTGCAGGGACAGAACATTGACCACTAGGTGAAATCAGGGAAGGTTTCACAGACCACATCAGACTTTAAAGACTTTGGGATCTCCCTTTATTCCAAAAGTTAAGCCAAGCCATTAAAACAACTTTTCCTACACTAATAGAATGTTTATTCACTTGAACTATAAGACATCATATTGTAAAGAAATACTATTTGACTGTAAATTTAGCTTCTTCTGATACCTGTTTTGTTCTGATAAAGTTTAAAGAAAGAAATATTGACTTACCCGAATGAGGTCTGGTAACTGCACTCTCATAGAGTGGGATGCCTTCACCCACATTATTAAATGCTTTCAGGGTGATCACGTAGTGGGAGCTTGGATCTAAAAGAAAAATCATTAATGAGAATTTAAAAACAACTTATCATTAAACTGTTAATCAGTCTGAGAGGATGACATTTATATGCACATATGCTTTTATCTATGTGTATGTCATTTCTCAGCCTGTACCTCTGAACATGCTCCTCCTTCAAGCCAGAATGCCCTCCTTCTTCTAATCTGTGTATTTCAGTCCTAAATAGCCCTCAAAGCTGAAAAGCTTCCTCAAACAGAAGAAAAATAGCATCTTCCATTTCTACCACACTTTTAAAAAGGGCTTTCCTTATCTGATGTTTCTCGTCCCCGAGCTATTGTCAGGATTCACCACCACATGGTCTAGCCCTTAAACCTTGTTTTAAGTGGGTTGATCTTGTTTCTGTGCCATTGCAGAACCTATATTGACTCTGTATGTATTAAGAGATGCACTCATTTCCCTCGATAGAACACAAGCTCCTTGAGGACAAGAATGACTTCCTTTTTGGTGACGCACCCCCTTGTGCTGAGCACTGAGCCTAGCTCACGGCAGTAACTGAAACCAAGTCCTCTTGGTTCCAAGGCCAATCAGCTCTCTACCCAGTATGCCATGCTACCTATAGGAATGAACGTATCTTCTTTACTGCGGACTGAAAACAAAGTGGCCCACGGCAGACAGTTAAATACTGGAGGACTGTTTTCAGAACTGCTTTCTTGGGAAGACGAGAAAATATTCCTTCTATTTTTGATGCACATAGAATTGATAAAGGTAATTGGATTGTTCACTATTTGGAAGTCTTCAGAAAAAAAAGTGTAAAAAAGTAAAAAATGAATGAAATATAAATGGATTTTAATCACAGCTTTGTTCAAGGTAGAAATTTAAGGATGGCAACTCTGAATCTTAAGTTTTTTAAAAGTAAGATATGTATTATTAACTTAATTTGGGAAATTAGAATTTGGCAAAGTACAAATGCTTATTTGAATTAGTGTACTTTCTTTTTAAAAATTATTTATTTTTAGTTTTCAACATTCACTTCCATAGGATTTTGAGTTCCAAATTTTCTCCCTATCTCTGCCCTTTCCTTCATCCCAAGATAGCCTGAATTCTGATCACCCCTTCCCCCAATTTACCCTCCCTTCTATCACTACACCCTTTCTCTTATCCCCTTCCCCTTCTATTTTCCTGTAGGGTAAGATAGATTTCTATACCCCATTGCCTGTGTATCTTTTTTCCCAGTTGCATGTAAAAACAATTTTTAACATTTGTTTTTTAAAACTTTGAGTTCCAGATTCTCTCCCTTCCTCCCTCCCCACCCACCCTCATTAAGAAGGTGAGCAATCATGCAAAACACTTCCATGATAGTCATGTTGAGAAAAACTAGCTACTTCCCTCCATCTTATTCTACCCCATTTATTCTATTCTCTCCTTTGACCTGGTCCCTCCTCAAAAGTGTTTGTTTCTGATTGCTCTCTCCCTTCTATCATTCCCCCTTTTATCCCTTTCCCCTCCTATTTTCCTGTAGGGTAAGACAGATTCCCGTACCCAATTGAGTGTGTATGTTATTCCCTTCTTAAGCCAAATCCAGTGAGAGTAAGGTTCACTCATTCCCTCTCACCTCCCCCCTCTTCCCTTCCACTGTAAAAGCTTTTCTTGACTCTTTTACATGAGATACTTTACCCCATTCTACCTCTCCCTTTCTCTTTCTCCCAGTACATTCCTCTCTCTCACCCCTTAATTTTATTTTTTAGACATCATCCCTTTATATTCAACTCACCCTGTCCCCTGTCTATGTATATTTCCTTCAACTACCCTAATAATGAGAAAGGTCTCATGAGTTAAAAATATCATCTTTCCATGTAGGAATATAAACAGTTCAACTTTAATAAATCCCTTATGATTTGTCTTTCCTGTTTACCTTTCCATACTTCTCTTCAGTCTTGTGTCTGAAAATCAATTTTTCTATTTAGCTTTGTCTTCTCAGGTATGCTTTAAATTCCTCTACATCACTCAATATCAATTTTCCCTTCGTGATTATATTCAGTTTTGCTGGGTAGGTGACTCTTAGATTTAATCCTAGCTCCTTTGACCTCAGGAATATCATTTTCTATTCAGCTCCAGTCTTTTCATCAAGAATGCTTAAAAGTCCTCTATTTCACTGAATGTGAACTTTTTTTTCCCTGAAAGATTATACTCAGTTTTGCTGGGTAGGTGATTCTTGGTTGTAATCCTATCTCCATTGCCCTCTGGAATATCACATTCCAAGACCTCTGGTCCATTAATGTAGAAGCTGCTAAATCTTGTGTTATTCTGATTGTGTTTCCACAATACTTGAATTGTTTCTTTCTGGCTGCTTGCAATATGTTCTCCTTGATCTGGGAACTCTGGAATTTGGCTATGATATTCCTAGGAGTATTCCTTTGGGGATTTCTTTCAGGAGGTGATAAGTGGATTCTTTCCATTTCTATTTTACCCTCTGGTTCTAGAATATCAGGGCAGTTTTCCTTGATAATTTCTTGAAAGATGATGTCTAGGTTATTTTTTTGATCATGGCTTTCAGGCAGTCTAATAATTATTAAATTATCTCTCCTGGATCTATTTTCCAGATCCACTGTTTTTCCAATGAGATATTTCACATTGTCTTCTATTTTTTCATTTTTTTGGTTTTATTTTATGTCTTGATTTCTCATATAGTCATTAGCTTCCATTTGCTTCATTCTAATTTTTAAGAAATTCTTTTCTTCAGTGAGCTTGTGGACCTCCTTTTCCATTTGGCCAATTCTGATTTTTAAGGCATTCTTCTCCTCATTGGCTTTTTGGACCTCTTCTGCCATTTGTTCTAGTCTATTTTTTAAGGTGTTATTTTCTTCAGTATTTTTTTGCCAAGCTGTTGACTCATTTTTCATGATTTTCCTGAATCACTTTCATTTCTCTTCCCAATTTTCCTTTACTTCTCTTACTTGATTTTCAAAATCCTTTTTGATCTCTTCCATGGCCTGAGACCAATTCATATTTTCCTTGGAGGCTTTGGATGTGAGCTTTGACTTTGTTGTCTTCCTCTGATTGTATGTTTTGATCTTCCTCGTCACCAAAGTAAGATTCTATGGTCTGAGTTTTTTTCCATCGTTTGCTCATTTTCCCAGACAATTACTTGACTTTTTAACTCTTTGTTAAGGACAGGCTCTGCATCCAGTGTGGAGGGCATATTGTCCCAGGCTTCAGGGGTTTTGTGTAGTTGTTTTCAGAGATTCTTCTAGGGATCTATAAGTTTTCAGTTCTTCCAAGGTGTATGATCAAAGGAGAGGTGTTTACTCGTCCCCTGGCTGGTGCTCTGGTCTGTGACCACAAGCACTCTTTTCTACCCTGAGAATGTGAGGAGGGTTTCCTCTTCACTGGTGCTACAAGCTCTGCTATGCCAGTGTTCCTCCTCGCTCCAAGCCTGCCACCCGGGACTGTGACCCAGATCCAATTATGGGCAAATCAACATAATCCTGTGTCAGTGCCAGCAAAGAGATCTCTGTAATGTCCTTCTGATCAGTTGTTTGATCCCCTTACCATTTGTGGGCTGAGATCTCCAGAAGCAGCTGTTGCTGCTGCCGCCATCACCACTCTAATGCTATGCTGGGGTTGGGGCTGGCCTGTGCTCCCCTCTCACCCAGGTCCAACAGACCTTTCCCACTGACTATCTGGATTGTCTTTGGTTGGAAATTATTTCATTCTGTCTTTTTGTGGGGTCTGCTGCTCTAGAATTTGTTTAGAGTAGTTTTTACAGGCATTTGGAAGGGTCTAGGGGAGCTCAAGTGAATACCTGCTTTTACTCCACCATCTTGGCTCCACCTCCCTCCCCCCCGAATTAGTATTGCAAATATTCCCACAATAGATGGTGGATCCAAGATAACACAGTAATAGGAAGAAGTACATTTGAGTCCTTCCCTATAACATCTCTAAGGAAATCTAGAAAACACATCAGATTGACTAGGAAATGTAAGAAAAAAAATCACAGTAAATAATTTTTCCAGCCAAGATCTACACAGGGAGATAGCAGAGAGGTCTGTGGATGCTAGGGACAGGAGTCCAGTTAGGACTGGCCATGCCAAATATTCTAGCATAGGAAGTGAAAGAGAAACAAGGTCTAATATGCCTGCAGGGGTCCCACCTTGCACATGTCATAGGAACAAATGTCAACTGGCAAATCTGTTGTTCACAACCCAGCTCTAGATCAAAGAGCCAGGATGGACTGAGAAGGGGGTCCCTAGGGCTGGTATTCCAGGGTGAGGAGCAGTAGTAGGCCTGAGGCTTTGCATGGAGCATGGAGAACGTTCAGAATCAAGCATCTTCTCAGTCTCAATTTCATCTCCTGCCCTATTTACAGCCTAAAGCAGAATAACCAGGAAATGGCTTCCAGGCCAAAAGCAAGTCTTCAGTTCTCTCATTTTGAACCAGCAGAACTTTCCAGCTGGCCAACAGTGGCTATGCCCAGAAGCAGTCTACTGGAATTCCAACAGTGGCAAGCCCACAGGTCTGTTGCTCAGACCAGAGGGACAGCGATCGAATTTTGCCCTTTATCAAAACACAATTGTGAGCACTGAAAGCCTGCAGGTCCTCAGCCTAAGCCGCTCCTGGAAAAATACAACATTTAGAAGCCCACACTAAAGTAGCAGTAAGACCAACTCAGGCATTAGCTCCAAAAGTACAGAAAGCCTGGCTCTAACACAAAGTCCAAAGTTAGGAAACAGGTTACAAGAAAGGACAAAAAAAGAATCCCATAATGATGATGATGGTAATAGCTAATATTTACATAGCTCCTACTGTGTGCTGGCACTGTGCTCAGCATGTTTTACAAATATTATCTCATTTGATCCTCACAACAACTGCAGGAGGTAGGTGCTATTATTATCATCCCAATTTTACAGGTAAAAAAACTGAGGCAAACAGAGGTTAAGTAACTTGCTCAGCATCACACAGTTAATAAGTGTCTACGGTCAAATCAAGACCTCTCATCAAAGACTTAGATCTTCCTGACTCCAGGCTCAGCACTCTATCCACTATACTACTACGCTGCTCATAAAAAGCTATTACGATGACATGGATACTCAAGACACAAACCTAAAATAGAATGACTTTAAAACAATTACAAGCAAAGTCTCAAAAGGAAAACACAATTCAGGCACAAGTTCAACTAGAATTCCTGGAAGAGACGAAGTAACAGTTTTTAAAAGAGTTAGAATATTTTTTTCTAAAAGACAAGTAGGGGACAATGGGAACAGAAATGAGCTATAGAACAAAGAATTGCAAAGGGAATTAATAGCTTGGCACAAGAGGCACAAAACACTGCCCAAGCAACAAACTCTCTGCAAATCAGAATGGACCAAATGGAAGCTAATGACTCCATGAGGCAACAAAAAATATTAAAACACTATCAAAAGTGGCAGTGAGGTGGCACACTGGATAGCATGCAGGCCCCAGTCAGGAGGACCCGAGTTCAAATGTGGTCTAAGACACTTGACACTTACTAGCCGTGTGACCCTAAGCAAGTCCCTTAACTCTGAATGCCTCAAAAAAAACAAAAAGAAAAAAAAACCCTACTATCAAAAGACTGGAAAAATAGAAAAAAATTTAAGGTATCTGATAGCAAAAACTGACCTGGAAAATAGACTGAGATGAAAAAATTTAAGAATCATCGAAGAGGGGGAAAGGGAGAGGAAGGATGGTAAGCAAGCAGAAGTTGAGTGGGTAACAGCTGAGCCCCCTTCTCATCTAAACTCTTCAGAGGGAAGAATAACATGTCCACAAAGCTGGGCACAGAAATCAATTTCACTCAACAAGGAAACAGAAGGGAAAGGAAGACAAGGGAATAAGAGGTGGTACAGATTAAGGAAGAAATTAGTCCTAAGTAAAACAAACTCTAAGGATGTACAAAAATACACATAGCAATGCTTTTTGTGTTGGCAAATAATCGGAAACTGAGGGGGTTTCCGTAAATTGGGAAATGACAGAAAAAGTTATGATATATGAATATAATGGAATACTACTGTACTATAAGAAATACTGAAAGGGATGGTTTTAGAGAAACCCGGAAAGACTTATATGAATGGATGCAGTGAGAAGTGACCAGAACCAGAACACTTTGTAGGATAATAATAATACTCTGAAAGACTTAGGGATTTTGATCAAAACAATGACCAACCCATGACTCCAGAGGACTTATGATGAAACATGCTGGTCATCCCCTGGTAGAAATGTAAAGGATTCAGAGTGCAGGCGAGACATACTCATTTGGTTATGGCCAATGTGGGAATTTGTTTTGCTTGACTAAGAATGTTTATAACAGGGGTTTTGTTTTCCTTTCTTCCTCAACTGGGGGAGGGATGAAGTGGGAGGCACAGAAGGTGGATTTTTGTTGACTGATTATATTTTAAAAGTTTAATAAAAACAAAAATAAGAAAACATTGCCACAATTCTCAAAAGTATTCTCTTCCATGGCATCTTCTTCCACTCTTCCCACTTACCTAGGTTCTCAATTGTATAGTAGCGCTGCTTGTAGTCCACTTTAATAGTCTGAGCATGCGGGCTGCCCAGTCCATAGCCGATGGCATAGCCTCTGACCACGATGTTCTGATTTTCTGGAGGAGTCCAGCTCACTACAATACTAGTAATAAGTGGGCGGACATGGAGAGAACTAGGCACTTCAGGAACACGAGTTTCTGTGCAAGAAAAGACAAAAGCAAGGTGTGATTGACCTTAGATTCAAACAGCTGGTAATGCTTAGCAACTACTCAAACTAGGTTTAGGCCCCTATTTCTCCATGTGCATTTCTAAGAGCAGGGTAAGAAGCCAGATGCTGGTATACAAGGAAGTAGGCACACTTGTAGTACTGTTTAATTCAGCCCACGGTTCTGTCTCATTGAGAGATGAAGAAAAAAAAAAGTAACAGTCAGCCAGCTGTCGTAAGCATTAATGCCAAAGTATTCTACTTGGCTGTAAAACATAGAGGATTTAAATATGACAGTAGAAACTGCAAGTCACAATAATGACTATCCCCCTGGAGTGTTACCTGTTATTTATTTTTTTTAAAGAGCAGAGTAGAGAAAAGCTAAATAAATAAATTTTCAATTATATGACTGGGACAATTTCCCCTGCTTCAACAGCAGTAAATGTTATCTAAGTGTTTTCTATTAAAACACTGATCTCTTTCTCTTTGTTTTTGATAAGACACCTCTTGTTGTTATGCTTCTGGGGATTTAACCACAGAGACCTTGCCATTCTTTTCCAGGAAAATTTTCCTAAAGGTTTTTTAAATAGTAGAAACTGCCTCACTGAATGCATTATGGCTATTCTGCCTCACCCCAAATGCAGGAGAGATAGCTCTCCTTTTGGAATGCCCTAAATTCCACTGTAAGAAGAAAGTAAGTTGTTTTAGCCTGGGTTGTTTTCCTTGGGAAATAATTAGCAATATAAGAAAATGGTCTAAAATAATGAAGAACAACTCATCAACGGGCATATACCAAAATAACTTTGCAGCAGGAATAAACGCAGCTCGTTCAATGTCTTCTAATAATTATTAGACTTTTATGTTTCAAGCAAATTGCTTTATCTAGAGATTAAATCTCTCCAATCTGTTCTCCAGCCTGATAGCTAACACTTAAATGAAAATACCTTCTGCATTTCTTTGTAAAATAAACCCAGTCATAATTTTGGTAATTGCCTTTATCCCCATGTCCAAATCTCCTAAAGGTGCTGTATAGATATTCATATAAGAAATAAGCTTTTCAAAGAACAAAATTCTAGTACTAGGTCACAGTTAGCAATAGAATCTAAGCAACGGACCTTAAAAGACCAAAATGCTATTGTAGCAATTTAGAGGATTTTTCTCTAAAAATCAGCTTCCTGATTTTTACCTTCTTTTTCCTTGCTAAAAAAGATTTTTTTTGCCATTTCATTTTTTACATTACTTAAATTTCCCCATTAGCTGCCCTTTCACTCCCAGAAAGCCATCTTTTATAACAATTTTTTAAAAAGAAAAATAGAAATAGAAAAAAAATCATATATTGAAAAAATTGACATCACACATAGTGTTCTAAACCTGTTCCTCTTTTTCCTTGCTAAGAAGTAAGGCAAAGTGTTTTCAGCATTTTATTTTCATTGCTATTATAATCCCCTTTTCACAGATGAAAAAAATTGAGGCTCATCAGACAGCAAAAGTGACATGTCAAGGGGAATATACACCCAGATCTTCTTTACCCCAAGGTCATCACACTAACCACCTTATTATGTTTTCTCTGTTTGTATTACTTTCTCAAATCAACAAGAACTTCAGTATAATAGAAAGGCTAACTATTTCAAGTTAAAAATAAAGCCAAGTATTCAAGTAAAATATTAAAAACAAAATGTTGAGGGGTAGTTTGCTATTGGTTTTCAGAATTTCTCACTTCATGTGCTGTAGTACATTGGAAAGTGTTAAGATTAGGATGCAGGAGACATAGGTTTGATTCCCACACTTAATCGACTATAATCTGGAACAAAACATATGATTACTTTGAGCCCTGGTTCCCTCATCTGTAAAATGGGGAAAATAACAGGAGCTGTACTTCTCTCCCAGAGGAGTCATAAGAAAAGTGCTTTATCTACCCTCTACCTTTTCCTCCCCTCCCCATTATTTTGTATCTCCGAAATTCCAATTGTTTATGTGTACGTGTGTGTATTAGTAGTAACTAAAAACATTTAAATGACTATACACAAGTCTTCTTGTGTTATAGTCTGAATAAACTTAGGATCTATGTTTTACATATGAGGAAAATTAGGCTCAGAGAGATTAAGTGAATTTCCAATGCCAGTCAGTAAGATCAGACCCCAGCTACTGCTTGGATTCTCGGGGCGATGCTCTTCCCACTGCACCCCAAGGCCTCTCAGGCACACATATCCTCATTTAGGCAGCACATACACCCCTGTGTCACTCACCTAAGTCACAGATCATTAGATCTGGAAGAAACCTCATACATCATCTGGTCCAGCTGCCACATTCTACAGACTGAAGCCCAGAGGGGTCAACTGACTTGCCTGAGGTCACACATCTAGAGGTTAACAGAGGCAGGGCTAGGTAGACAAGACTCATATAGAGAGTCAATTTTCAACAAATTCATGGAGCCTAGAGTTAGGGAGGAAGGGAATTTGGGACTAAGGGAAAGCCATGATTTAAACAAATGGGATCAGACGCAAATTTTACAACATCTACTTATACAAGACCTTGGTTCATAGCTGTTCTAAAGTACAGCATGTTTTCATGTTTATTTATTCTTGTTTTTTTCTGGTGTATACATTTAAAAAAATACTGTGGGATATACACTCCTACACCTCTGCTGAATAATTAGAAAGAACAACCAAATCAATTCACATTGATGTTTAAAAATTTCCACCAGATGATACACCGTGCCTTGTTTGTTCATTAATTTGGCTTTGTAATAAGCGCTGTAACAGGGGTACCCAGAACATGCTGCCCGCTAGCCTATTCATTAATACTTACCATCTAAGTCACTTTCAAATGTTTCTGCAGACATCCACTCCGTAGCTGGCCCCGTCCCATTGACAGTAAGTGCAGCCACTCGGAAGTTGTACTCAGTGCCCCGATCAAGACCTAGGGTTCATACAAGAAAACTTACATAGGAAAGAGAATAGTAAGAGAGAACAAATGGACTAACCGTTTCTCATTCTAAAAGCTTGTATTTTAAACTTAGTTTGATGGTAAGATCTTACTAATATTTCACTATTTTTCAGATAATAAAAGATTTTGGAAAGGGAGATCTTAAGGAAAACAAGTAGGATAATAATTTCTTTTTTTTAAATTTATTTTTTGAAGGCATTTGGAGTTAAGTGACTTACCCAGGGTCACACAGTTAGTAAGTGTCAAGTGTTTGGTCTGAGGCCGAATTTGAACTCAGGTCCTCCTGACTTCAGGGCCAGTGCTCTATCCACTCTGCCACCTACCTGCCCCAATAATTTCTAATCTTGAAAGCAGCTATTTCATATGTAAACTTAATGTGACAGACCTTGTCACATCTCACTCAATACCAAGATATATAGGCTACTGCTGTCTTGACAAAGTCTAGGTCAAAGTTGAGTCAATCTAATCCAACACATTTAGAATTGTAACCCAGGGGCAGAAACTGTAATGGGCAAGGCTCTCAGTAGAATGCATGACTAATTTTTCTAGGGCTTGGCGAATTTTAGAGATCATCCATTCACCTTCTTTTTACAAGTGAGGAAACTAAAAGCCCAGAGGACACCAAGGTCACAGAGTGAGTAAGTGGTTCAAACAGAACTCAAGGACAGAATCAAGCTGGCCCCAAAGATGCTCAGAGTTAGAATTGAACAGAATGTTTTCTTTCGGGTTCTCTAAGTTTTCTGCCAATTATACTTCTCCTATTAATTTTCCCAGGCCATATGGCATGCCTACAGGCGCCTACAGTAAATCAGTATCCTCTAAGAACAAAGCCCAGCTTGCCCAGCCAGCTGCAGCCCCCCACCCTACCCCCACCTCCAATTGGATTTCTAGTTTTCAATCTCCTTAACTCCAAATAGTTGTCTGAACTTTTCCCAGAACAGCAGGAAATGCCACAGATAGGAATGACTGAAGGCCACACATGGAGGAAGCGTCAAAACTAAGCTTTGAACCCAGGTGCTGTGACTTTCTGCGATAGTAAGTGGAGCTGACCAAATGCTGAACACAGAACCAGAACTCTTGAATTCTTACTCGGGCTCTGCTACATATCTGCCTTGTAATCATCTCCACTCATCTAGAAGACAACAGGATTGAACTGAATGATCTCCAACGTTCCTTCTGGCTATTTGATGAAGAAGCAAGTATATGAAGTACATATTTCAGAAAACCTATGTTCTGTCTTACAAGTATATTTGACTACACTTATTATTCCAAATATTAAAATGATTAGTTTTTTTGATGTGCACAGTCCATGAGGTATTTTAAATAAGGAATACGGAATATATTTAACATATTAAATATTTAATATACAATTATATAGCTGACATGTGCCCAACAGGAAAACCTCCATCGTCCAGAATGTTTAGGACACAGGACTAACTTGTTAACTGGCAGTGCCCCATAGAAAGAGCACTGGGTCAGGAGTAAAATGACCTGGATTCCAATTCTGGTTCTGCCTCTTACCACGTGTGTGACCCTGGAAAAGACACTTAAGTGTTGCTGGGAATTAGCTTCCTTCACTGAAATGAAAAGACTGGAGTAGATGACCTTTATGGTTCCTTTCTAGATCTAAATATTATGAATCTGGGACATTCAGAAAATTTCCAGATTACTGATGTCCCCCATCAGCCATTCTTCCTTCTTCGATTCTCACTCAAAAGCCTCTCACCTATACCTTTCTCCACTCCGGTTTTTGGATATTTACAAAAAACCTATCATCTTGTTATAGAATGTTCCTAATGTCCTTTTTATAAATGTTAATCCTTTTTAATGAAAACATTTATCTTTAAAATATTTTTCTTGACTATTTTATCTTTATATCATCCACATTTCCCAATGTTTGCCATACATCAAGCATCGGGGATGCAGATGCAACAGCAAAGAGGGTCCCTGTACTCCAGGAGCTCACATTCTAACAGAGACAGTAGGAAGTGGTAGACAGGGAAGAGCACTTTGGTCCAGAATGTTATTTGGAGAGTGAGTGAGGCCATACAAGGATATCTAACACCACAGGACGTACCTGGGAGGCATATTTCTAGGAACAGTGGTAGCATTTGTTTGCTCGTGGTCCTAAGAAGAGAGTTGTGGAGGAAGGAGAAGGTGAGGCTGCTATTGAAGTAGTTGGGGAGTAGGGATGGAAGTGAAGCGTGGCTAGGATCTACCTGAAATAGCGGGCCAAGTGAAGCTGTCGGCAATGAGGATGGAGGGGGTGGGGGGCACAGCTAAAGCTCCAGAGAGAAAAGGGCTAAAACCTCTAGGTCACAGTTTCTGGACCAGGGAGCAGAGCAGTTGGTGATAGGATGGCTTTTCCTGGCTTACTCGAGACAAGTCGTATCCTATCAAGGCTCATTAATATCTAGATGAGATATTTACTTCATGATATCAAGATTTCCTAGTTTACTTAGTCAATATAATTCACATTCTGCAACTTCCTAAGTAAAGTCCTCTGAGGATTCAAGCATTCTCCATATTCTTCTTCCTGAACTTTGTGGACATTCTTGTTACCTTGTCCAGAGTTACCAGTTGGCAGAAAGCATCTCTTCCTCTAGTGGCCTTTCATTCAGAACTTGTGGATGCTCATCAGTCAGACTCTCCTGGGCCCTGTTCTCCTTCAACTCCCTGCTAGGCTGCCATGGTACAGACGTTCTTCCTTAGCCTTCCTTTTCTGAGTCACATGTTCCTGCTCTTCAGCATCCTGACACAGATTTGGATTCTTATCTGCTTTCAGGATATATTTCTACTTCTTTGCTTTCCTCTTGAAGCATTTATTTCATTCTTTTAAGGAACAACTCATTCTTCCTGACAATCTGGAAAGTAAAGAAGCATTCTTCTACTCATCCAGATGAAACCAATTATGTGTTCTGGATTCAGGCACTCACTGGAAGACACACAATCTACCCTATTGGACAGACTGCTGCAATAGCCTCCTCACTGGTGTCTCTACTTCACATTTCTTTTCTCCAGTCCATCTTCCACACAGCTGCCAAAGTCACATTCCTAAAGCAAAGATCTGACCATGTCACTTCTTGGCTGAGTAAACTCCATGGCATCCTGTTGCCTTTTGATCAGGGGCAAACTCCCCTGATTGGCTTTCCAGTCTATTAAACTGGCTTGACTGCATTTCTTTACCTTTAAGACTACCTCCCCTGCCTGGAATGCACTCTCTTCTGGTCTATGGTCTCTGCCTCTGAATTCCCTTCAAAGCATACTTCAAGCACACCTTTTCCAGACACTGGTCACCTCCCTGCCTCATCCCTCTAACTTTCTGGGACTGGTCCTCAGGTCCACTGAACTCCAGGACCTTCTTCACCAATGCAGATTACTATTAATGTATTAGTGGCCTTACAAAGTGGGCTGGGCCCTGACAAGCTCCATAACCTGCCCAGGGGCCCCCAGGATGTCAGAACCAGACTCCAAGGCTGGCCCTCTGTCATAAGGTTATGTCTGGTTGCATTCTTCATCCCTAGATTTGCTGTGTGTATACTTCTATGTTTATAGGTTGTCTCCCACAATAGAATGTAGGATTGCTGAGGGCAGAAACAGTTTCTGCCTGGTTTCTGTATTCCGAATGCCTTGCTAATGCTTGCTAATTAATTCTCCTCACCCTAAAACAACCTGTTTCTCCCATCTGTTCACTGGCCTCTGGACCCCTAAGGAGGCTTTTTGTATGCAGGCTCCTCGGCTACGCTGCCCCCAGTTTCATCCATTTCCAAGTTCCATTTTTACTTCTCAGATCACTCAGTTACTATCAGAATCCTCCCAGTGCCCTAACAAACCTGCTGAAGAAACTAAAATTCCCAGATAGTTTTTATCTCTTCCCTTCTCTTTATTAACGTTGGCTGCTCTTATCCTGACGCTTCCCTGCACGCCATCTTCTGTCCTTGTCCCTCTAGGCTTTTAAAGCAGGTTTTCCTGCTATCTGTCAAGGTACAGACTGATTTGCCATTGGCTCCTGTAAAGACCATGATGCAAACAGCAGACATACCTAGTTGTCACTTTTAAGTTCTTTGAAGAAATCTAAATTTTTACCTGCTCCTGTTTCTTCCTTTCTCCTCATTTGTTCTGTCTGAGCTTGCATCTTTACGTCACCTATTTCTTCTAGTACAGACCTTCCCAGGACTTCTAGGACTTAACCTTTTCACTCTCATCTGTTTCAATAATTTAAACTTTTACATTTACTGCTACATGTCTACCAATATAAATGTAAAGATATTAATAAATCTCAAAGGGAAAAATATTTACCTACAAAATAAGGTAACTGATGTCACTGCCAAACACTGTATCTGGATAATCTACACTAATCTAAAATGCTTAATAAATATGCTACCAAAAGTTCCTCCACAATTTTATGCCTAGAAGGCTAATTAAGACCTGCAAGAAATAAGTGTAAAAAAAAACCTTTAATGTTTTTCCTTACTGTAAAAAGTGGATGGCTGTGAATTCATACTTTTATAATAGATAGAGCTGTGGATTTTTGTTTTGAAAATTAATTCCTCAAAGTAAAAAAGAACTTCTGCTTGTATTAAGGAAAACTAATAGGACCTAAAAAATTCAGCTATTACTTTATACTTCAGGTTTATTTTTTTAAAATAAATTTGGATTTTCAACTTTTGTTCTTACATCATATACATTTGTCACTGAATCCTTCTTTTCCATACTCTTCCCAGAAAGACACTGAATATAATAACAAAAAAAAAGAAGAGAAAAGAAAGAAAAAACTGTTTTACACATAAAAACATTTGAGGTTCTAGTTCGTATTCCACACCAATTGTTCCTGACTTCTGTGAAGGAGCGTGGCACGTGTCCTCGTAGGTCTCTTCTTTGGAGTCAAGTTTGGTGAACACAATTTTGCATCATGCAGATTCAGCAGTCTTGGTGTCATTCTTCCTGTCTGCACTGTTGTAGTTATTGTGTACACTGTTTTTCTGACACAGCTGCTTAATTCTGCGTCTGTCCCTGAAGCCTCTACCGTGGTTTGTGCTGTATTCTTCGTGTTGTTTCCTGCAGCATGGTAACTCATGCCCCGCAAGTTTTCTGGCCACTCCATGATCAATGGACATCTCTGTTTCCAATTGTTTGCTACTATGAAAAGGATTGCTATAAATATTTTGTGGCATATACAGTCTTTCTAGCAGTGGAATCTTGGGATTCCAATAGACATTTCAGTCACTTTCTTGGTATAATTCTAAATTAAGCAGTTTCTTTTAAAAAGAAAGTTCCCATCTAACTGCACCTCATAAAAATTATGTCTATATTTTTTAGGAGACATACATGTCTTTGATTTCTTTTCTTTCTTTCTTTTTTTTTTTTTGCTTTTTTGGTGAGGCAATCGTGGTTAAGTGACTTGCCCAGGGTCACACAGTTAGCAAGTGTCTAAAGCCGGATTTGAACTCAGGTCCTCCTGACTCCAAGGCCGGAGCTCTATCTATTGTGCCACCTAGCTGCCTTTTGCCTTTGGTTTCTTAGGACTTACTTATCCTTACATCTAATTTGTTCCTCATGCATTTAATTATTCTACTGACTGCCCTTCAAGAAAGCCTTAAAAATGGAAGTCCTAACTACGTGTGTAGGAGAGTCTAAGCCTAGTTCCTGATGATGGCGGCACTCCATATTGGCTCAGAAACTGATCCCAAGCACTATCTGTGTGCTGCCTTTGGCTATCAAGATCTTGAAAGACAGCTGTGGGAGTCATACCTGCTGCAACTTGGGTCAATATGCTGAAACCTATTTACTCCTCACTAGCATAATTAATCATATTACAGAAGAAAACTTTATTAAAAGGAAGAAAATAAAACAGAAATCCTTGAGTGAGTGATAATTAGCACTAATGATGTAGATGAGTGCCCAGTGTCCCTTAAGAGGCCACACAATAGGCCTCTTTGGTGGAAGTCCTTGCACCCCAGGTAGCACAGCAGTCTAGGCCAAGGGTTCACTGCTGTGAGAAGGAGACGGCGGTCTTTCTGTTTCTTTCTCTTTCTCTCCAACCTGCTGGTACTCTGCCTGGTATTTTCAACTCCACAGAATGGCCAGATGCTCAGACAATGTGATGAAGAGTCTTGAGTGATCTCTTGATTTTCCTTGCCATGTCTGCATGCAAGAAGTGAGCAAAACCCCCAGGCTTCACTTCTCCCTAGTTGACCCCATCTTCATCTGAAAAGCTTCCTCTCCTCTCCACACTCCTGGCTATTTCCGCTTCACAGGTACGTGCTCAAGCAGATACACTCTTCTTTTCCTAGTTATTCATTTGGAAGAGGAAAGGAGAAAATATCCTAGCCTTCACTACGCCCCATATGGCAAACCTGTAAAGGGCTTGATGGGAACACTTCCTTACTGTGGGAGAGGGGCCTGGTGACATTTCCACTGTTCTGGGGAATTAGCTGAATCCACACTAATCTGGCTGATTCAAAGAAGTCCCATGGAGAAATGGGTGAGAAGGGCTGGAAGAGACAAAAGGGTCCAAAGAGAAAAAAAAAAACAAACCGTAATTGGGCTGAGGTTTGCTGGAGCAGACAGGTTGGGGGGGTTCTTCTGAAGCAAAATAGTGGGGTGAGAGAGATTAGGCCAGATTTCACCTCGTGGGAAAAGGAGCTAGTTAGCCCAGTGCTACGTGCACTTTATATTAAAGTGGGTTATATTTTTTTTTCTCATTGTTAGGAAAAGCCTTTTTAAAAACCCAAATAATTTTTGAGTAAACTAAAGGAAAAGTGAAGAACATATAGGTAGCACATGGCATAGTTTGCTGGCAGAGAAAGATGTAATGGAAACCACAACCCAGAGTTGGGGTACCAGTGAGTGAAAAATACATCAGAACTGTCATGACTGAGACTAGAAATTCTCATTTTCTCCCAAATTTCTCATAGTACAGAGGCTTTGACACTTTGCAGCCCTTTCAGCTACATTTGCTTGTGACATGCTTAAAGACTTTGTAAATCATCTTCTGATATAAAAGACAACAATTTTAAAGGGCTCATCTATAAATTTTCCACTGATTTTGTGTATTTATGGCATCCATAATTCATAAGGTATTTAAAAACACTGAATTTGACTAAATAGACAAGTTCAAGTCTGTTCCTGTCATTCAAGGTAGATTTGATAAAAAAAAAAAAAGTTCTCCACTTGCACAGAACAACTATATATGAATCATTTCTCCCCATCCCCCACAGTTTTACAATCATTTACTCTTAAGAATTCTGTTGCTAGACAAGTTAAAGAATCCAAAGGAAGATGAGTCATGATAATAAAATGTAGATTGCCAATAAAGCTAGTAAAATAAGAATTTTGTCGGAATTTTCCTCTTATTTGAACTATTAAGAAAATTATCAAGTAATTTTGAAAGGGCAAAAGCAAATGGAATCATCTAAACTATTTGCATAAGTCAACTAACACAATTATATATTCAGAAACTATCATATTTTTATTCTTGTTTCCAAAATGCTAAGCAGTTTACCCTCAATTAACTGGAACAGCTGTGTTCCTCCAACGCTCTCTGTAACATCACTCTTGCGGGAGGATTTCCGATAGCGAATCTTGTAGCCAGTAATTTGCCCATTTTGTGCACCTGCTGGAGGGGGCTGCCACTGAATCACAATACTCTGGAGAAGATAAGATTGTGGAGAAAAAATGAGATATATCAGAGGCCTAAAACTCATGCTCCTAATGATTGCTGTACATAAGGGGTTTAGGAAAAATTCTATGGTGTTCCAGTCAATTAATGTTCATAAATAAATCAAAAGCTGAGATTATATATAAAGACCTCACATTTATATACCACTTAATGGTTATAAACTCTTTGAGAATAGGGATCGTTTCATTCTGTGTATTTGCGTTCTCAGTGCCCAGCACAGGGCATGCCTTTAGCCCATTTGATTCTTACACTGACCCTATACAGTGGGCAGAATAGGCATCCCCATTTTACAGATAAGGGGACTGAGGTTCAGAGGTTGATTTGTCCATGGTCACATGGCAAGTAAGTGGTGAAGCCAGTACTGAACTGAGGTCTTCGGACAGTAAATTTAGGTTTCTTAACTGCAAATCACACCATGTTATGATTATGCCTTATATGTGTGTATTTTCTGGACCAGATCTGTACTTTTGTTGGATTAGGGGCCTCTCACCCAGGGAAAGAACTCCCTGCACCTGTACAGCTCGGCAGCTTCTCTGCACCTTACAGCCTCACAGAGCCGCCTGGGCACTGAGAGTGCCTTCCCCAGAGTCACCCTGAAGAAGGGCAGCACAGGTCTCTTCTGACTCTGCCAGAGACCACAGGCTCATAAGTTAGCTCAGTCAACATGTCCCTAGGTTGTGGTAACTGAAGACACAGTTTATTTCTACAGGCTTTTCCTTTTTTTTTTTTTCTCTAAGAACTACTCCTTTTGAGAACTGTAATAGCTCTGGTCCCAAAACACTTAAGAATCTACATGCTTTCCTCACACCAACCCTGTGAAATACATGGTTCATAATCATCATCTTCATTTTCCAAAAAAAGTAAACTGAAGCTTGGGCAGCTGGCCCCAGGTCACCCACATAACAAGCATGAGAGACGGCCAGGCTCGGGGCTCTTCCTGCTGGCCTCCTCATGCTGCTTTTGACCTCTAGCGGATGGTCAGTCATGCAAAGGGCTGGCAAGGCTGGAGAGCAGAGACCTAGGGCCGAGTTCTCTGAGAACAGCGGGTGAATGGACAAGCTGAGCTGCAGTTCTCACACATTTGTTCCTCTCACACCGCTTAGCTCTTGTGTTCTGCTCTCTGACAATACTTTAGGAGCATCACGTAACTAAGACCACGCTGGAGAAGAGATGGTCCCAGTACAGTAATCACATCCTGGAAGGGTCCCACCAGGACTTCCTTCTGACAATCCCCAGAGGCTTAGACAGAGACCAATGGAAATGTAAAGTCTGGCACACACACTTTTACCTTGGAATTTCTCACTTCTAACGACAGGTTCTGAGGAGCAGCACTGGGGACTAGAAATGTGGAATAAAAAGGACAAGGTTAGATCTCCAATCACCCCCAAGGACACCTGTTTCACTATACTTCATAAGCAGATGCCATTTGTCAAAAAGAGCCCTTCTTCAGTTCCTAAATGGCTAACAAACATCAGGATTTCCCTAAGTTGGTCAGCATTGTCTCCTTCAAGGAAGGCACTTGCAAGGCTGCATATTTAGGTTGAGCAGTGCTGCCACTACTCAAAAATATTTTTGAAACTCTTTGGAAACCAGCACTTTTTGGCCTGTCCTCAGTGGTGACACATCTTTATCTTTCGAGAACAGATTAAATTTTTGTAAATAACCAAGGATCATTCAGGACCACACCTAGAGAATGAGATGACGTATAATCTGATTAAAAAGCATTTGTGACAACAAAATGATGCAACCAATTTTTGGATATGACTTGTATGTTGACTCTGAAGAAAGTTCCCAAAGGAAGTTCCAGATATGCTTTCAACCTTCACATGGCCAATACTCAATAGACAAAAAAGGAGGTTTCCTAAGGTCATGGAAAGAGTAATCAGTGAGAAGTCAGGTCAGTGGGACCTAGCCCCAGGTCTGCCACAAATCAGTTGTGTAACTGGGGAAAAGCTGTCACTTCTTTGTTCTCAGTTTTTTTTTTTTCATCTGTAAAATGATTCTGTTGTGTTTATTAAAGAATCTCATTATTTCATAGTTACATGGTATAGGTCACACTACCTTCTTGAAAACAACTGACACAATTCATCGTCTCCCCTGACAAAATGACCATAAGAACCACGTCAAACAGTCCTGACTATTTTCCTCTTTCATTCAAACTTAAAACTCCATCCCTCTCACTAATGTGATCAGTACTAAGGCTTACAATGTGAATTTTGATTATTTCTCCATAATGACTTTGGATTTTGTCATCAAATCACCTAATGAAAGAAAGGCTACACAACTGTAAGTGTGTCTACTGTGTACTTATTTTCGATCATGATTACTGCCCACATTTCTGACTTCTAAGTCACTTATGTCCAATGCTTATGTCCAATGTTCTTTGTGAACTCTCCTAGTACACGGCACCTTCCAGGCCCTTTCATTCCTTATTCTGTATCTGCCCTTACCTGAGCACATTTTATAATGCTAACCCCTATCATTTATATAAAACTCTGAAATGATTCTCTGACAATAAGTCAATTATCCTTCTATCTTTCCCTCTACCTCACTCTTTTTAAAACTATTCTTCATCTTTCCACTGATGTTTAGTCTCATCCCCATTCCTGTTCTCCTAGTCTCTACTATTTTCACTCTGGCCTCTCTTCCTTCCCTTCACGATCTGGATCCGAAGCTTGACCAATTTAACCATATTATCAGCTTCCCTTGACTCCTCTGCCCCCTTCTCCTGACATCAGTCATATTGTGCCAGGCTCCAGAGAGGTTATCCCAACACAGGCCTTATCTCTTCCTATTCTCATAGTGCTTTCTTCTACATTGCTGCTACCTAATCTCAATGGGGCCCTGTCGGATACATGGCGATCTTTTATTCTTCCCTTCTTGACTCCATAACCACTTACCACATGGTTATTACAAACCATCTCCTTTATCCAAACATTCTCTATCACGTCTTCTCTATTTCTCCTCAGCCAAGGCTCTCATCTGTCACTAGATCTCTCTTCTCCCCTAACTCATACCCTCCTTTGTGTCTTCTCCCTGACAAGTCCAACCCCTTCAGTTGTGCTGTTCATCCTAATCCATCACCTCCTTCAGTGCTTGCCCCCTTGGTGATTCCCTCTCTTCTTAAATCTCCACTCTCTCCTCACCTAGCTACGGGTTCCATCCCCATTAGCGATAAATATACTCACTTCTAGCCATTGTTAAAAGCCCTTATATGACCTTGTGTTCCCTCAAGCTATAATCTTCTATCCCTTCTGCCTTTCAAAGTCAAACATCTACTCAGTTCCTCATTATTTTTAATCCCTTAGAATGTGGCCTGTGTTCACACCACACATCTTACACGATTCTGCCCAAATTTACCAATTATCTCCACTATCTTACTTGAACTCTGAAGCTTCTGAAGTTGTTTCTATCCCCTCTCTTTGCTTCTGTGATACTTCTCTCTCTTGGCTCTTCTCCTGCCTGTCTTATTGCTGCTTCATTGCCTTGCTCCCATCCATTAAGAATGGGCATCCCTTAGGTTTTTCCAGGGCCCTCGCCAATTCTCTTTCATGCTCTCCTCCCTCATGATCTCATCCAATCCCAAATTATGCAGATGACTCTACAGTGAACATCATATGATGAAGAGCAGGATAGAGATAAATCTGTTTCTAATTTTTCTTTTGAATTAGAGTCCTGTACCACCAACTGCCTAAAGGACAGTTCTAAGTGGAAGCCCCAACAGCATATCAAAACTCAACATAGCCAAAATGGAATTCATTACACAGGGTTTCTGAAAAACATGAGTACAATCTTAAGCTTTAATAACCTGAAGTACCACAAACCTGCAAAAAGTACCATGTGAAAGTTTAACTGTTGAAATTTGTTTTAGGTTTGTGAATTTTGAAAAAAAATTTTTAAAAATTTAAACAAGACAGAGCACCTTCTCATCCTGCACTGTGAACACACAGCAGTTTCTGAATGACACTTTCCAGTCTGAGAGTGGATCAGTAGTGGTGGTTCTCTCACTTGGCCACCATGGTCTCTGGTCTATCACTATTAGACGGTCATGTCCAAACGGCTGTGTACATATCCAAATCTCTTCTTTGTATTAAAAGGTCCATCCTTTCATTCATTGCAGTTCTGCAGCTCATCAAAGTTTTTACAAAGTTCGAAATCAACTAGAGTGATATATAGCCCAAGAAGGTGGATATGTTGGATTTTAATTAGAAACATCAATTTAAGTAATTAATCCTTCAAATAAGCAAAAAAATTTGAAGCATTTATAGCTCTGAAGTTCTTAAAGGTTAAACTCGCAGTGAGACTTTTCGGACACCCTGTATTTCCCTCCAAAACTAAGGCAGTGCCATCCTTTGTATCATTTAGCTTTATAATACTGGAATTAGCTTTTTTTTTTTTTTGAGGGGCTAGGCAATGAGGTTAAGTGACTTGCCCAGGGTCACACAGCTAGTAAGTGTCAAGTGTCCAAGGATGGATTTGAACTCAGGTCCTCCTGATTCCAGGGCCAGGACTCTATCCACTGCGCCACCTCGCTGCCCCTGGAATCACTCTTGATCTGACTCTCTTCTCAACCTCTCCTCACATACTGCTGAGTCGATCTACTTTCACATTACAGCTCTCACCCATCTCCCCTGCACTCACAAAGCCACAGTAGCCTAGCTTCAGGCTCCATTGCTTTTCATCTGGAATTCTGTAAAAGTCTCTTAAGTGGTCTCCCTGCTTCCAGGCTCCCCCCTTTCTAATCTGTCTTCCACACAGCAGGCAGTGGTAGGTCTAAATTTCCTGATCGTATCACTCCCTTATCAAAAAAAGGTTTACCATTCATTCCTTCTAGGACAAAACACAAAATCTTCAGCCTGGAATTTAAAGCCTTCTACTCTTGGTTTCCCACCCACCTTTCCAGACAGATTTCACATGATTTCTCTTCCTGAACTCTGCATTCCAGCCAACTGGACCTGCGAGCTGTTTCCAGTACGCAGAATTTCATCTCCTGCCTGTTCTTTTGCCCAGGCAGTCCCCTCTGCCTGGGATGCCCTCTCTCCTTACCTCTACTTCTCAGAATACCCAGCTTCTGCCTAAGACAGCTCATGTGCTATCTTCTATACAAACAAAGCCTTTCCTGACTCTTCACTCAAATTTTCCGTACTGCTAATACCACCTCCTAAGGTTTACTTAACCTTATATATACTGTGCATCTATTTAACTATGTACATAAAGTATCTTTCAGGAGAATGTAAGCTTCCTGACAGAAAGCAGAGTTCCATTTTGTCTACAGTCAAAGGATCATAAACATGGAAGAGGAAAGGATCTTGAAGATCTTCTAGTCTAACTCTCTTCTTAGAGCAGAAAGAATCAATGTGTGCCAGAGGTAGTGAGCTCAGAGGTTGGAATGGACCCCAGATTCTCTGCCTTCAGAACCAGGATCTTTCCACTGGACCATGTTCCTCCAGCACCAAGACCAGGACTGTGTACGGAGTCAGTACTTAACAAATGCTTGTTGGCTTAAGTTGACTATACCTAAGGTTACAGAACAGTTCTCCGTGAAGAGCCACTCAGAAAGACCCCATTAGGTAGGTCCTAAAATGGAAGCTGTGGGAACGGTCATACCTAGGGTATGGGTCATACAGCTTAAGCAGGGTTCAGGTAGGAATCTGTGCTGATTCCCAGGTCAGCAGGCATGAGTGCACCACACTGCCACTTGAAGACAACAACCCTGAGTCATCCCTGCCTCAAACAAGCTTAGGACTATGCACATAGGAGGCACTTGGCAAATGTTTTCTGGATTAAACTAGAGCCCCCACAACCACACAGCACCCAATGAGAGGGAAATGGGATGCCCCTTACAGTAACATCAATTACTACACCAGTCGTTTCAGTCGTGTCTGGCTCTTTGTGATCCCATTTGGGGTTTTCTTGGCAAAGATACTGGAGTAGTTTGTCCTTTCCTTCTGCAGCTCATTTTACAGATGAGGAAACTAAGGCAAACAGGGTTAAGAGATTTGCCCAGAGTCACACAGCTAGTGAGTGTCTGAGGTCAGATTTGAAATCAGGAATGAGTCTTCCTGACTCCAGGCCCAGCAATCTATTCACTGCAGCACCTAGCTGCTTTGTTTAAATTGAAATTCATATATTTAGCTTACAGTTATTGGTGAGAGTTTGCTCAAGGCTGTACTTCATAGCCTCCACTTGAAAACATTTTTACAAACACATGCATCAATATACTATAGAATATTTGGCTCAGAAGATGAGAAAAAACCTCAAGCTTTTAAAGGACACATATATAAACATGAATACCACACACACACTTTTAAACAAAGTAGTTTTCAGACTATTGAGATTCTACTGTTACTGAACTTTGGGCAGTAGGGTACAATCCATCCATTTTGATGGAAAAGCAGCCATAAACAATGAGTACTATTTTCCTAAGATAAATCTCATACAGGTCCAGTTAGCATGCAAACTTGATTGTTGGTCAAAAAATGTAGCTCTAGCAGTCAGAGCAGACTGGGTCTGAGAGCATTCCCACAAGCATACATACAAAAAGCCAAGAGCAGTATCTAGCTTCCAAAGGAAAGGAATAACTTACCATCTGATAACGTTCGAACAACAACATCCTGTGTGGAGACTCCAGGACCATGTTTATTATAGGCTACTACTCGGAAACTATACTCTGTGTATTTTTTCAGTCCATTAATGGTGTAGGAGCGACTTCCAACATCAACATCCTGTCCATAAAGGAAAATAACTCATACATACATATCAAGCCAAAATAAATACTGCAACTAAATAAATCTCCTAGACAAGGCACATTAACTATGTTTTGTGCGGTGAGGCACTGATTTTTCTTTTTGTATGAAACCACTTCTTGATAACAGATGGTGATGGAGTATAAATAATGGTGATTGGAAATACTGCTTCAGATTTAACAACAGTTCTCTTATGATTGGTGAAAAATTAAGATTAAAAAGTAGTAGGCTAGAGAGTCTTCCTACACGAGTTCTCTATTTATTATTATTATTCACCAATATGAAACCATGTTATCTCTATACCTCATTTTTTATGAAATTGCCACCCAAGTGAATGTTCAGCATCTGGAATGTCATTCATTGCCCTTATTTCAGGGAATTATTTTTCAGATGGCTACATCATACCTGCTCATTGTCTGCTCCCTTTTCCATGTAGTACAACTTGTAATTCTGAATTTCCCCATTGCCAGACAAAGGTGTTTCCCACGTGACAGTTATTGAGGTAGGTGAGGTAGCATATGCTCGGATGTTAGGTGCTGGGCCTGGGAGCTGGACTGAAATAAAAGTAATAAGAAATAGGAAAAAAAAAAGAGTAAATTCATTGAATTCACCAATTAATTTTTCTGTCATTAGTATAACATGTGTCAAAAAACAAAGGAAAAAAAAACAAAATAAAACTTGGAAAGCAACTGGCTTGCCTGAAATGTGATTAGCTAGCAAACAAAGTTCTTTCTAATTATAAATCTATGATCTTAAGCTTTAAGATAAACACTTCTTTTTTAAAGAGAAAGTACTGAAAATTATTAGTACAGAAATTATCTTACAGTTCACAAACATATTCCTTATACTGTGACCTTTAATTGTACTGCATGTGCATCACAGACTTCTTTTCCATAATGGAAGTAGTCAGGGTCCTTACATAATTTCTGGATTTCAGCATAGCTATGCCATTTATTAAGGAACTGTTGAATTGAAGAGGTATCAGGATCTTATAAATGATTAAGGGAAATAATTTCTCTTTGATTAGATGCAAATATTGTAGACTTAAAGCAAGCTCTGGAAGCCTAAAAGGGAGTTTTCTTGCAAAAGAACAATGGGTGATTAAGCTTTTTACATGACATTTTACAATGGGATTTTGAACGAATTCTGTTCTCAATGAATGCCAAAACAAAAACAGTTTTCAAAAGGATGACAACATTTAGTTGACTAGTTTAATTGAAAAGGCAAAGCAGAAACAGAATAGTGTAGGGGGAAAATAGTTAATCTGGAGTCTGAGAATCTGAGTTTGCGTCTTTAGCTTTGCAACTTACTTATCTATGTGACTTTTAGACAAATCATTTTTTTCCTTTTCTGGGCTTCAATTTTCTCCTCTGAGAAAAATGCTTTATCTATCTATCATGTTCATCCTACTTATCTATCATGCTTTAGCTTTTGAGAAAATTAGACTAGATGATGTCTACAGTCTTTTTCAGTTTGGACAATGTATGATTCTAAGATGTTAATATTTCTTTGTAATTTAGCACCTCAAAAAAAATGTGGAGATAAACCACAGAATTTCATATTGTTCTGAACCATTTTATTTTATTTTATTTTATTTTAGGCAGTTGGGGTTAAGTGACTTGCCCAGGGTCACACAGCTAGTGTCAAATGTTTGGTCCGAGGCCAGGGTGAACTGAGGTACTCCTGACTTCAGGGCCAGTGCTCTATCCACTTCACCACCTAGCTGCCCCTGAACCATTTTATATGACATTAATTCATGGACAGTAGATTTGTATTGGAACTTGCAGAATAAAAAATGTCATATTGCAACTTTTTCCCATCTGGAGTTTGAAATGTGCAACTGGTTCAAGACCATGTGTAGATCTATACTTGTGCTTCTTTTTCTAAGAATATTTTTCAAAAATGACTCTCTTACGATGGTTCACAAACAGAAGCTTACTATTTACAGAAGACAATTAATAAAACTTCATTTCCAAATGGGCTTGATTTAGACACTGTAATCTTCTAAAGAAGTGCAAAATCACAGGATAATCAGTAATGATAAGGGATTGAGGTATAAACAATTATATGATAATTAGAAAAGTTTAATCAAGTACCCTTGTTCTGACAACCATACTAATGGCACAACAGATACACAAAGAATCACATTTGTCTCACAAGTTTAAACTAAAGAAGGGCCTTAGAGATCAATTGGGCCAACGCTCTCAGTTCAAAGAGCTGGAGTGATCCCTTCAAAGTGACACAGCTCCTCAGGGACAGACCCTGGGCTTTGGGCTCTGCACACTGGGGAGCACATCCTCCCGCTACAGTCCTGCCACCATTAGTCCTCTGCCTTCTTACAAGATCCAATTTCCACAGTTGCACTAAAACTGAAAATAGTTGTGGGAAAGTCCTCTGAACTCTTTCTGACATTTCAGATGTATTACTGCATCATTTGGCCATGAATGTTATTTGACCATAACTGTCCCACACAATTTGGATTATAAGCATCCTGAAGTTAAAGACGGTGCTTCTTCATTTCCCTCACAGTGCCGAGGACTGGGCTGAGAATACCAATGACTTCTTCATACCAACAGCTTCAAGGCTTACCCTCGGGCTGAGTCTCTACTCGCAGAGGGAGTGACCGCTCTCCGGAGCCATGTCTATTTTGTGCCACAACTCTGAAAACATACACCGTCTCTGGCATCAGGTTTTGAATGGTCACCTGCATTTCCCCTGGATGGCTGGTATTTTCAATCCGTTCACTTTAGGAAAAGAATTTAGGAAGATAAAAGGCAAGAAACACAACATCCATTGGAAATTTTCTAAAATATGCAGATTCATTTTCATTACGATTGAACAAACATTAAATGTGAAGTGTCTCACACTCAAAATAACACCCAAACTTCAAATAACAGGCAGTGCTTATGAGGAGAAAAACTCAGGGCAAAATGGGGTACTGTGTCAGACAGAAATGTTTAACACATCTGCTAATCTGCTGGGAATCATTTTTACTTGCAGAGCTCAGAAGCTGCTAATACTGACATATAATCTTGATTTCCATTTTGAAAAGAACAGGAACTCTATTTGGCACTGTGGATTTTTTTCCCCCCAAAATTCTATTTTATTTCCAGTTCTAAATTCACTCCCTCTTACCCTCCCCACCCACTAAGAAAGCAGTAAAAATGAAATCCATGACAAATATGTATAGTGAAACAAAACAATTTCCCTCATTAGCCACATATATATATATACACAAACATGTATATACAAACATATGTATGTGTGTGTGTGTGTGTGTATGTACATGCTTTAATCTACACATTGAGTCCATTACCTCTCTATCTGGAGGTGAAGAGCATGTTACATTATGAGTCCTCTGCAACTGGTTGAGTCCATTGTATTTCAAAGTTGTTTGTTTTTACAATATTGTCATTGCATAAATTGTTGTCTTGGTTCTGTGATCACTTTATTTTTTATCAGTTCATACAAGCCTTTCCATGTTTTTTCTTTTTCTTTTTTGTTTTTGTTTTTGGGTGAGGCAATTGGGGTTAAGTCACTTGCCCAGGGTCACACAGGTAGTGAGTGTTATGTGTCTGTGGCTGGATTTGAACTCAGGTCCTCCTGACTCCAGGGCTGGTGCTCTGTCCACTGTGTCACCTACTTTCCATGTTTTTCTAAAACCATCCTCTTCTTCAGTTCTTATAGCATAACAGCATTCCATCACATATACATATACTATTATTTGTTCAGACAACCCCCAATTGATGGGTACCCTGCCTCATTTCCCAATTCTGTGTTACCAGAAAAACAGCTGCTATAAATATTTTTGTACACATGGGTCTGTTTTCTTTCTCTGATCACTTTGAGAGTACAAACCTGGTAGCAGCATTGCTGGGTAAAAGGGTTATACAGCTTAGGGGGTTTTGGGGAACAGATCCAAATTGATTTCCAGAATAGTTGGACTAGTTCACAGTTCTACCAATACTAGTTTAATGGAAATGCTTTCCCACAGCTCCACCAGCATTTGTCGTTTTTCTTTTTTTTATTCACCTTTGCCAATGTGATGGGTATAAGCGGATTCCTCAAGTTGTTTTAATTTGCATTTTTCTAATTATTAGGAATTAGAACATTTTTTCACATGGTTATAGATACCTTGGATTTCTTCTTCTGAAAACTCACCTATTCCTATTCTTGATCATTTATCAGTTGTTGTAGTTGTTGTAACTTGTTTTGGTATACAGTGTGAAATGTTTGTCCATACCTAGTTTCTGCCAGATAGCTTTGCAGTTTTCCTAAGCTTCTACAGCTTACCCCATTATGCATAATGTTGGCTCTTCATTTTAGCTAGATAATAAAGACCATAGAAAGCTCCATTTATTCCTACGTTTTCTTTGGGCTTTTATTTTTTTCAAAAAGAAATGGGTGTGTCTTGTCAAAAGCTCTTTCCTTATTTTTTGTCAAATAGTGAGCTCTTGCCCCCCTAGCTGGGATCTTTTATCAAAACACTAAGCTACTATGCTCATTTGCTTCTGTATTGATAAAAATTAATGTTAATGCTGTATCATGTGATTATTAATATTAATTTGCATATTCCTTTTTCTGTTTAAAATCCTCACTTTTTCATTTCACGTACATAAAAACAAATAAACAAACAAACAAACAAAACCCCATCACTTCTAGGAATCTGATCATACTCTGTTTCCTCCCAAGATCTGGTTTGGGCCTCTGTTTATCCCAAAAGCAGAAGCCAGACTTAACCATCTGCAATATTACAGGTCATCCTTACTCCTGGCTTTTCCAGCTAAAAGTTTGTGGCGACCTAGCTCACAAAAGAGAAACTTAACCAGGCAGATCTCTGAAGGAGCAGTTTTCCCTGACCAGATTTCTAGGGGCAGCTGAAATCTCATGACCATGCTCCATTCTCAGCTTTACTCCTTCCCCTCACTGGAGGAACTGAGAACCATAAACCCACCTCCTCATTCAGTGCCAACAATCAGGGCTGCCTTTTGCTTGTCCGGAAGACAGATGGGGGATTTAAACTGGCTTGGGACACTCTCTTGGGGTCCTTGGTCACAAAGAGAAACCACTGGTGTCAATTTATTATTTGCTGGTCTAATTAATAAATTGATTTTTCATACCCAGAACTTTGTCTCTCGGAATTTTATATGCCATAGTTGTCTATCTAATCTACTCTACTTATCAATCTCTATTTCTCACATGGTATAAAATTGTTTTAATGATTGTGGATTTATAATATACTTTTAGATCAAGTACTGCCAGGCCCCCTTCCTTTCTACATTTTTTCCCCTTGATATTCTTGACTTTTTATTCCTCCATATAAATGAAATTTTTTTTTCTAGCACTCTAAAGTAATCATTTTGGAGTTTGATTGTTATAGGACTGAATAAGTAAATTAATTTAGGCATTACTGGCATTTTTATTATATTAACTTGGCCTGACTATGAGCAATTCATATTTTTCAATTATTTAGATTTAGTTCTTTGTATAAAGCATAGTTTATAATTGTGTACACGTATAGCTTTTGTGTATATCCTGACAGATAAGGTTACACAGTATTTTTTTTAAGTTACTTGAAATGGAATTTATTTCTATATCTTCCTGTTCGATCTTGTTGGTGATATACAGAAATATTGATGATTTGTGTGGATTTATTTTATATCCTGAAATTTTGTTGAAGTTAACTGTTTCAATCTTTTTCAGTTAATTTTGTAGGGTTCTCTAAGTAAATCATCATACATAGTGTGCAAAAATTGATAATTTTGTTTCTACTTTGCCTATATATTTTCCTTCTATTTCTTTTTCGTGCCTTCTTGCTATAGTTTACATTTCTTGCACTAAATTGAAGAGTAATGGCAATAATGGACGTCCTTGTTTTGCTCCTAATTTTATTGGAAAGGCCTCTATAGCTTACCCCCATTATAGATAATGCTGGATCTTGGTTTTAGTTAGATGATAAAGAACATTTTTAAGAGAGCTCCATTTATTCCTATGTTTTCTAGTGTTTTGTTTTGGGGTTTTTTTTAACAGAGATGGGTGTGTCTTGTCAAAAGCTTTTTCTGCATCTATTGATGTAATGATATCATTTTTGTTATTAATATGGTCAATTATATTTATAATTTTCCTACTATTGAACCAGCCCTGCATTCCTGGTATAAATCCAGCCTGACCATAGTACATAATGTCTATGATATATTGCTCTAATCTCTTTGCTTTTTTATTTAAAAGATACTGTTTTTCTAAGGTTGTGCCTCTTATTAATTTTTAGAAGGATTTCATTAGCAACAAAGGGTATCATGAGCCCTAGTACAATTTTCATCTAAAAGGTACAAGATTCTGGTGAGCAACTATAGTAGATTGAACCATACATATTCTCAATTTTTTAGCTAAAAAGCTAGATGTATACAGTGAAAAAGATCAGCTAACTACAAAGCTATACAATTTTGAACAATTTAAAAAGGCCAGTTAAATGAGACCATTTTGAAAAGGCCTAACAAGTTCTATCCAGTAGATATCTTGAAGTCAATTTGTGCTGCTGGTTTTAAATGAGAAAAGAACAAAACAAACAGACAAACTAAATTAGGGATTACTTGAAAAAGAAAAAAAGTTTCCAGAGTATTTCCTCGGCTTGGCTCACGTTCCGCCTAACATCCTAAACTGGGCACTGAAGAGCCAACAAAGAACACATGCCATGGAAGCCCTTCTTGTCAATGCCCCCTTCCTTCTCCTGGATGGATGCCAACGTCCCCCCGACCCTTCCCCCAGGTCCATCTCCCCTACATCAGGACTCTGACCCCTCAGGTCCATTTCTCCTTTTCCAATAGTAAGCACTTAAAAACCTGTTTGCTCATTCATTCATTTGTTCATTCATTTTCTACATGTACATCTCTACTTCCATGAGAAAGGAGGCAATGAAAACTCAAAGTCCGTAAGTCTTTATTAAGCACCTACTACGTTCACAGCACCACACTAGGCAGTGGGGAAGCAAACACAGAAAATGAGAGTAGGGAGATGAGACATATACACAAATAATTATACTTTAAATTAGAAAATAAAGTGTGAAAGCATCATAGTGGCATTTGGTTTTGAAGGAGGAGAAAGATGTCCATACATGGAGACAGATTTCAAGCAAGGTAGCCAAGGCATGGAGGCAAGAGGGAGGAACACAAGGCTGAGACACATTGAAGTAGATAGTGCAGTTTGGTGAGCACAGAGAATGCTGAAAGGGAATATGGGAATCAATAAGCGGGAAAGGCAGGTTGGAGCCGGTTACTGAGGTCTTTGAATAGAAAGTTAAGAAGTTTGTACTTTATTTGGTAGCCAATGAGAACCCACCTAGGGTTTCTGAGCAGGAAGAATGCTGTGATTAGACTTGGGTGTTAAGAAAGTTTCTTTGGCAGGGGTGAAAAAGCTCAGATGAGACTTGATTTGATGTTTTTGTGCTCTAGAGAAGAGAGGCTGGAGATAGCAGCCTCAGTTCAGACAACAAGTAATGAGAGTCTGAACTACAGTAGCGGCAGTGGGAGCTGAAAGGAAAGGAAAGATATGATATATTTTGGAAGGAGAATAAGTAGAATAAAGCAACTGAAAGCAACTGATTGAATGCTTGGGTGAGGAAGAGGGAAGGATCAAGAACGAATGATGTAGAGGCCTAGGTCTCCAGCCTGGGGAGGGGGCTGCTAGTCCAGACTGAGAGAAGCAGGTCAGTGGCAGGAATGTGCTGAAATTGCCTGGTTGGATGGAT